GACAATAGCAGGTTTGTTATTTCATGGAGGAAGGTTATTTCCAGTCTGGGTTTTTCCATAAAGCTCTTGAGGCAGAAGGATCAATGTTTTGAATATAAGCCCTTGTGTGGTTGGAGCACGGCCAAGAAGTGTGTGTACATAATCATGAAAAGGGTCCATTTTACTCCATGGCCCAACAAGGACAAACTACATGTACTGGTACAAGCTCTTGTGGAACATGTACTCCAATTGAGGTACATGTACATGTATATGTACAAGGCTCACAGCATTCATGTATTATGAGAAGCATTTGCATACAGCTGTAAGACCATCGGAAGGACATGTGAGATTATTTCTAGGCATTTAAACAATAACAAGTGTCCTTCTGACTGGAGAAGTTGCAGTGAAGTGTGCTTGCAAATTATAGATACATTGTAAGTCCACTGCTGTGTGAAAAACATCTGTCAAATTATTTCTGGTAAGATTTTTGTAGAAGGAAAAAGGACTACGGCAACCATAGAGCAAGGACCTGTTCATCCGTACAGCCTTTTGAAAAAGGAAAAAGAACCCCCCCCCCCCCCCCTCCAGAACACCGATTTTCCAAAATGGCGGATGGATTCTGCCGTTTTCTCAACTTATATATCGATACCCCTTAATTAAGGGAACATATGTTTTTGCTGTAATTTATGGATGTATTTTGGGGGTCAGTATTTTATAGCAAATATGGTTACACTGTCTTGTTTGAAGTTTTGCGTTCGTAGATCGTGTTGAAAAACCAGTCCAGCTGGCTTGTATCCATTCATAGGTGTGTAATCGATCGTTAACATAATGCGGACTCACTAAATTGTGGTAAATGGAGGCACTATTTGAAAAAAAAGCCAGTTAAAAAAAAAAAATTCCACTTTTCTTGAAAATGACAGCACACGAGGTGCTATGATTTTACAGGATGCAACTGTCATTCACTAACAGTCTGGTAAAGTATTTCATAATAATTTGGTAGTTTTTTTTTTTATGTTTGCAAATGTTGTATATTCCCTCTAAATAAAAAGACAAAATATATTGCAATTTATGTTCCATAAAAGAGTGTAAAAAAAAGAAGTGGGCTGGGACGAGAAACTGGTTATTTATTTATTTTATTTTTACTTGGGCGTAAGACAGATTGTGGTGTCATTTTGTTTAGTTTAATTTATGTGATGTTGACTGAATGTACATTGTACATTGTACTGGTACTTGTTTGTCATTCAATCTTCAGTTTGAGTTACTTGTGAATCGTGTACATGACATGCTGTGGTTTACAGTGTTGCTGCATTTCTAAGCAGTACATATGCTGGAACCTGTCATACAAACTGTCAAACATGTCTGGGCCATGTATGATTGACTACATGCCTTGACCTTTTATGATTCCTATGTATTGTGGCATTCCCCATGTTATACGCATACTACATGTATTGTACATGACCTGTAGCACTTTTCACATGTCACTTTTCAGACCATGAACATCCATGTAATTATTCGCATACAAAATGTACATCACATGATGCGGTTTGTTTCTAACCTTTTGTGTTCGTTTATTGCTCAGTCCATACATGTACATGTACATGTACATGTTACTACATACATGTACACAGCAGACTTTTTGTACCCTCAATGCTGTTTGTGTTGAAAAACATTCTACACTTAGATAAACATTGTAGTTGCATTGTAGCTTGCAGTACTGTACCAGGCAAACTGCTAAATATCCTTGAGTTCACATCAACCAATGACAGAATAGGCCCATTCACAGTGTGTTGTGGACCGTGCCGTAGCGCTTTGTGTCAGAGGCTAACCAAAAAAGCGCTATTCAGGTGTGATGAATCAGCGTTACTAATGTATTGTGTTTCATGGAAGTGGGGGCTGCCAGAGTGAACCAAGAGTGGAGATCAAAAAAGAAAAAGAGATCCGTGAAAAAAATTCCGTCATACGATTATTTAAACTTGCATTCAATCAGATATTCAAAATACACCAGAAAAGTTTTATGTGTGCCAGCCTAAACGAAGTACCAGTCTGAAAGTGCATGTGCACAGCATGGCGTAGTTAAAATTTGTGTGCATCGATCAGGAATTAAATGTATAATTTGTTGTAGTTGATGTACATGTAGCTGACTTACTAGCTGGTACTTGATTTAACCCTCACCGCCCTGAATCCTTCAAAATCCTCATTGCCAAAGTGGAGGAATTTGTTGGAGGATTGAGGTTACGGCAAAAGTGCGTTACTGATTTCGTCGGATGCACTTTGTCAAGGTCTTGGCCGGACCTTGTGTTGTTTTTGCTTAGCCATGCATAAATATAGGCCTGGATTATGCTGGAAATCCTCCGTACTGCTCCAGGATGTCACTGGCCAAGCCTCAAGTTTGACAGTTTGACATGATTTTGTAGGATTCAGGCAGTGGTCACCCCTCCCTCCACCATGGAAGAAGTTCCTTCCTCCATGCCTCCACGGACCATATTTAAGAAATAATGGAGGAATTTGCAGGATTGAGTCTATTATTTCTACATGTATTTTTCCATAAGGCCAATCGGAGGATTTTGCAGGATTGAGGCTACATGTACATCCTAGCAAAAAGGCCTAGGGAGTTAGGGTTAAAGATGCAAACTTTAACGATGAAAAATGACCCGATGGGCATTCATCTTCATCTTCTCCTAACCACTCAAATTTGTGGAATATTCAGATCGGAAAAACATTCTGTTGAATGATCAATTTGTTTTGTGCTTGATTTATTCGGTACGGCAAAACCCTATCCTAAGTCAGCTGTTTGGGGGACATTTGTTTTTTAAGTTCTTCCCCTTTGACATACATTAAATATGAAATGATTATTAATGACAGAAACAACATTTCCTGGAAGCTTGGGCTTATTTTTTGTTTTGGAAAGTACCTTCCTGTGATTGTGTAATGTTTGAAATGGTCCCTACCGTACATGTTAATGTATGACCAGTCTACCAGGTTGTGTCTGGCAAAACAAGTTAAACATTAACTTTTTTGATATCTGACTATGGTCAACATTGGGACATTTTTAGAATGTCACTTATGCATCGCTGTAACTAAACCCCTCTTGACGAAGGGTTGTTTGTGATTTACTTTTCAACCCCAATAGTTTGAACACTCCACCATCATGCTGTGGCCTATTGTGGTCCTAGAATTTACTTAGACCTGCTTTCTGCACATTGGTATTCACTAGTACTTCAAGTTAAATGATTAATCCAAAATGCAAGTGTGATGGCCATGTTGACACAACCTGTTTGACCTTTTACTTTAAAGGGTTATGCTGTCCACAAAAACCACAATCATTATCACAGGTGTTATTATCGGTACCCAGTCATCGGTACCCTGCGTACAAATGAGTCACCACATTGGCTTTCCTTGGTCTAAAACAATATGGTTATGCTGTTAACTAACCAATTATAGCCTCGAACTCCAGCGGTTGTTCCACGATCTAAATTCCAATTGAATTGCCCCTTTAATGCTTTGGCACCCCATGTGGTTTACAGCGCCTAGCAACCGCCTCATATATCAAAGGCGCAGTCTGCATTGTTGAGGGTGTGTGAACATAATGTACAATAGAATCTAGTACAGTATTGGTAGAAGGCAGATGCCGATCCTATGACTCATGATTCGTGTATAATACATTCATGTACTGGTACCCTTGATGTACATTGTGTAAAATAATTGTCAGTTTTCTTTACAAAATGGAATATTAGGAATGACTAAACAAAATATTTGTTGACCTTTGTAATATTAAACTATTTAATTAATTTTCTCATAGTTGCAAGTGTGTAGTGTACATGTATGTAAACGTTATAAAAATGTTAATGATGTAAAACCCTCTTTTTAAGAATTAGTTCTCCTGCTGTCTGAACAGTCACAGACAGTCAAAAAAATTCAGTCATCTTCCCCTGCCATGCCTTTTACACAGGCTAGTCATCAACAGTCAGATCACACCGTACATGTATTTCAAGCAAGCACTGTTACTAGTAGGATTCAGTCAACTGACAAAAGCAGGCAAGTGGTTGGCACAGAGGCTTATCATTCACCTACAGTCAAAGCATACATGTAGCTGTACCAAGTTACATAAACAGTCACCGCCAGTCAATCCTGCTTTACATGTATGTAGGCTGGGAGCTCTTAACTGTTGAAAAACAGTCACTTGATTGATTTTGACTGAAAGGACATCTTTGCACAGAATGTACATGTATGTTTGCATATAGGAGGGTTAGGAAAAATGAAGAAAAGCATGTACATGTACATGCTGAATAGGCATGTATTTCTACCGGTATATGGCATAGGCAAATACCGGTACTTGTAACATCTGATCAACCATTGTATTGACATCATGGTGTCTGTGCAGAATAGTTTAAACTTCTCAAATGCAAAACTCAGGGCGAAAAGTGCATAATATTTGTTAGGATTTAGGATAAATGTCTAATTAAAAAAAAACTCCCCTTGGACTGCCCTTTCAGCCGCCACTGTTAAAGACCAATCATAAAGCTTGCCCCATGATGCTTGACCAATCACATCCGTGATCATTTTTTTCGACGTGCGTTCACAAAAGTTAGACAAGCCTCCACGTGCGAATGATGCACGTGACTCAAACACGCGGTGCGGCATTGGAAAGCAGTGGGTGGGGTTTAATCATAGAGTTACCGGTATATTTTTTAAAAACTAGAGAGCGCACTCCGTATACAACGCACATGCGCGACATGGACATGCAGCGCCATACTTAAATTGGAACAATGGACTGAGGTTGGCGGGACTTAGGACCAATCCCGATCAATCGGGAGTGGTCATTTATCATTATCAGAAATTAATTCAAAAGTGGTTCCATTGCTCCACCTGAAGTATGGGTACTGCGCGTCCATGTCGGAACGAGTGCTCGCAGCGAGTGGGCTCTCTAGTTTTTTAAATATCACCCTATGGGTTTGTTAGATCAATTTATTAAAGGCCAGTCATGTTTCTCACTTCTCCAAATTTCTTTTCCTTTACTCCAGACAAGCGTGACACCCAGCGCATCATCATTGAGGTACAGAACGTTAATGAGCCCCCACAGTGGGAGATCGTGGTGTACCCCTACATCGCGGTGGTACCTGTGGATGCCTCCACCGGTGCCTCAATCTATCGTCTCAGAGCCTCTGACCCTGAGGGCTCCGATGTGCGCTTCTATCTCAACTCTGGTAAGTCTTACAAAATCTTGGCATGATTATTAAGCTCTGGCAGGAGCTTCTACATGCCACTTGGTGGTCGGTCGGTCGGTCTGTCCCAAAAAATTGACCAACAATATTTGACCAAAAATAATTGACTAATTGCCATGCTGTTGTCAGTAAATGCACTCTTGATGAACGTTTTTTTTTCTTGGAACACTGGCTTTGTCTCGATCGATGCGCATGCGCATCTATTTTGCATCCCGGTATGTCTGTCCTTGGAAAATTGACCAAAAACAAGGGCTCCCGCAAGTTCCCATGAAATTTAACTACCAAATTTTAATAAGTATGCCGTTCCGTTGGTTTTTTTTACATGTATGTGCAGGGTGAGTTAAAAAAAAAGCAAAAACAAAACCCAAAACAATATATTTCATAGTTAAAAAATATGTAGCACCAAAAATAACGACTGGAAAGCCAATTTTAAAAACTACTTTTTAAGATGAAAAAAATTACTGAAATTGCTCAATCCGTTCAAAGTATATCACCATTTAAACGCAATTACCCTATAATCTATTTCCAGAAATGCGATTTCAAGAATCGTCACAATCGTCTTCAAACATCACCAGCGTTAAACACTCACTTTAAAAAATCAAAATATTAAACAAAGTCCTTTTAAAGGCCCGTCTTTTAAAACAAATTGTCCTGATTTCAGGATTTTTTGTCAGGATTTCAAAAAAAATTTGGTCCAGATTTTGTCCTGATTTCAGAATTTTTTTTGCCTGGCTTTTAACTGATATCAGGATTTTAAAATAATCACTTATGAAATCAGAGGAATTTCAGAGGTTTTGCTGTAAAGATGTTTCTACCTATAATGCTTTATATCTTAAGGGCTGCCTTGAGGAATCAAATATATATACCTCAGACCCTACATTGCTCTGAGGTTCATGGCAACCCCACCATCATCCACTGCCGATAATTTGGGGATTTTCATTTTCTCCCAATCTCACTCTAGTCTTTGTAGTAGACCATGACGAATGCCGTGGTCTATAACGCATGAACAGATTCCCTGATTAATTAGGCAAGACCCCGTCTCTTGACCTCCTAGATTTTGACCAATCAGCAGGCGCTTTCTATATCGGGTTTTCGGTCATTCACCCATTGCGCATCATAGACAATGGATTAAACAAATCTGTCATGCGCTCTGTATCATGTTATGCGATATCGCGCCCGGCTGTTGTTGTATTACAAAACTCTGCATTTGAATTGACCAATCAAACCATTTAGTCCTTATTTAGGAATGAAATGGTGTCACGATTTAGTAAAGTCGACTCCGATTGGCTGGTGTGCCGCTTGTTTATGTACATGTATATCTAGACATATCAGACGTTATATAAGAGACTTGCTCCGTGGATAACGGGTGATACTCAGACTAATCTCACTCCTGAAATGGAAACTGATGCATTTAATGTTTTTCTTGCTCAATAGTCCCATGCAATGCTCTATGATGGCATTGTGCTTTTCTTTTTTTTTTCTTTTTGAAGGTGGGAGCGGCTTGTTCACCGTCGACGAGGAAAGTGGCTCGATCAGGACTAGCCTGTTGGAGGGCCAGACCTACGAGCAAGGCCGGAAGTACATTCTGAGTGTCTACGCCCAGGACGAGAACGGAAGCAGCATACCCGCCGAGGTCAACATCTTTGGTGGCAGCCATCCGCCGCAGTTCACCCAGGAGGTGTACAACGTAGCAGTGGAAGAAGAAAAGATTGGGGAGCAAAAGTGAGTAGATATGCTGTGGTCTGGGGGGGGGGGGAGCTGTGGTCCAATTGTTACTGACAGGGAACATGGTCCTTGTGCTCTTGAGCAAGGCATTTTACCATTATTGCTTCATCCTTTGGATGGGACATTAAGCCGTAGGTGTCGTGTGTTTTGTAATGCACATTGAAGAACCCAGTACACATCGCTAAGAGAAGGGTTTCCCCCGTTGTTTCTGGCAGTGGCTGTAATATGCGCCGCAGCACCTTGTGCTGCATAATAGGTCTCATATTTTTCATAAACTTCATTTATCTGCCTTTAAAAAGTAGACATAATTACCATTGCCTTGAGGACCTAATATTGGTAGATACGTGTGCTTTAAGACTCCGGTTTTATATTATTATTGGCTATTGGATGCTTTGTGGGATACACAAGGTTGTCTAATAAAATGAGAATTTTAGTTTTACCGTTGACTCTATCGGTAGCCCGCTAGCCAAATGCTAGTCAAAACAGCGGTGGGCTAGTCGAACATTCCTTAAGAAGCCCGGCTTGCGAGTCAAAAATTATTGGGCCACGGCAAAGATGAAAGGACGGGAAGAAATAAATCATTAAATTCAGAAAGCAAACCTGTATCAATTTGTGTCTCATTTTATTAACTGGTTAGGGTTAAATTATTAGATCTCTTGATTAAAAACACTGACAAGGTTGCCTCAGAATACACATTCTACATGTAAGCACATTGTTGTTTAAGAGACACTCTTATAAAACAAAAACATGCGGGCTAGTGGAAATGCCCACGGGCTAGTTAAGAATCTGTTTCAGTAGCCCGGCTGGCGAGTGAAAAGAAAAAAGTTAATGTCGAACCCTGTGTTGAAATGATAGCCTTACTGGAACATGAATGCAATATTTGAGCCATACACAGGGTTGTCCCAGCGTCTCTTTGACACCTTGTAGGCTTTATAATACATTAACTTCAAAGCATGGACCTTTGACAGGGATGCATTATTTTTCAAATTTTCAAATGCTAGCTACAGCCCAAACAGTCATTGACCTTGCTCTCTCTGTTTTTCCCTACTCCAGCGTGATAGACATCGACGCATTCTCCTTCAGCAACGTAGCTGTCACCTTCGCGCTCCTGAACAGCGAGACCAACCAGCCGATTCCACGTCACTCCATTGACCCTTCCTCTGGCCTGATCAAACTGCTGGAAAATGTGGACCGGGAGGTGCTAGACTCGTACTTCTTGGAAGTGCAAGCGACTGAAGACGTCCAAGATGGCTTGTCCACTACTGTCCGGGTACGCTCCGAGTCCAACAAACAGAATTATTGTAATAATATAACAGTAATATTGGTACGGTGCTTATAAGGTTGTGGTCCAATGGTTGCGGTGTTCGACTTGTGTGCTGTGGTACATAGGCTCGAACCTTGACAGGGAACATGGTGCTTGCGCATTTGGGCAAGGCACTTAACTACGATTGCCTCTCTGCACCCAGGAGTACAAATGGGTACCTGTGAAGATAGAGACCTGTGAAGGTAGAGACCTGTGAAGGTAGAGACCTGTGAAGGTAGAGACCTGTGAACGTAGAGGCCTGTGAACGTAGAGGCCTGTGAAGGTAGAGGCCTGTGAAGGTACAGACCTGTGAAGGTAGAGACCTGTGAAGGTAGAGACCTGTGAAGGTAGCTGTGAAGGTAGAGGCCTGTGAAGGTAGAGGCCTGTGAAGGTAGAGACATGTGAAGGTAGAGGCCTGTGAAGGTAGAGACCTGTGAAGGTAGAGACCTGTGAAGGTAGCTGTGAAGGTAGCGACCTGTGAAGGTAGAGACCTGTGAGGTAGAGACCTGTGAAGGTAGAGGCCTGTGAAGGTAGAGGCCTGTGAAGGTAGAGACCTGTAGAGGTAGAGACCTGTGAAGGTAGAGACCTGTGAAGGTAGAGGCCTGTGAAGGTAGAGGCCTGTGAAGGTAGAGGCCTGTGAAGGTACAGACCTGTGAAGGTAGAGGCCTGTGAAGGTAGAGGCCTGTGAAGGTACAGACCTGTGAAGGTACAGACCTGTGAAGGTACAGACCTGTGATCTCGAGCTGCTGCAGAAAAAATTGCCTCATTCCTGATGAATAGGGATAATAATTGTGATGCGCATTTGATCATTTTCATATGGAATTTGCGCAATATAAATTATTATTATTATCAGCACTGTATACCAAAGTTTCAAAGCGCTTCGCATTTATTACCCAAGTTTATCATGCTATGAGTCCTGTTTTTTTGCAGCAGCTGGAGATCAGAGCAATTGGGTCTCTACCCCTGCAAGTACCCACGAATAGTCCGGAGTAGATAAGGGCAATGATGGTAAACTGTCTTGCCCAAGAACTCAAGCACCATGTCCTCCGCAGGGTTAGGCTCACGTACCAACATGAGTTGCACTCTGTAACCATTGGACCACAGTGCTCCACGGCTCTTATTGATTTTTCTTTTAAGCTGCCAGTGGCAGCTAACCTATTTGGATAGTTGACGTTCAAATCAGGCATTTCTATTAGGACTCGAGGTTTTTCTGTTTGGATGTGTTTTTAGTTGAAGAAAGATGCATCTTTATTGGAAACACTTTTGTTTGGGTTGGACTCCACCTTTTTGTATGTACAATGAGTACATGGGTATCTGTAGTTGATGAAGTTTTTCCTCCCTACTGAACCAAAAATCTGTTATCATTTCCTTTTGTTTTAATCGTAATTCATTTTGAATATTGCAGGTGAATGTTGAAGTGACTGACATCAATGACTGTGTTCCCAAGTTTGAACGTGAAACATACTCGTTCAGAAACGTCATTGAGACAATTGACACAACTACACCCATCGGAACAGGTAACGCTACTCCTCCAGTGCCCCCTTTCTGTATTGCATATTTGTGTGGGATTCACATTAGTCCAGGTTTCCCAAGGACTTGTTCTGTGGCCTCAAATATCCATCACAGTGTGAGATGCCAATAGAAAGTTCTTTTGAATGCTAACTTTCATGGTAAATCCCATCCCTGGTAATGTGGATGGGCTGCACCTACCTGAGCTAATGGCAGATGGACTGGTGGCTTTGTTCTCACAACAAGTTTGGTTAATCTCATCTTAAGCAATCTACAAATACAATTTCGTCGATTTGAGCTGTGTCTGAAATGAGCTATGGTTCTGTGTGCCATGGCTGTACACAGTAAAGCGTCAGTGGGTTAGCCACAGACTAACCTGATTTGCATTGATGACTTACATTCCTTCTCTCTTTGATATTTGGTTTTTCGCCAGTTGCGGCCACCGATTGCGACGCCGACCCCAACAACATCTTGACCTACAGCCTGATCGGGGCCCAGGCCGACAAGTTCAGGCTAGACTCTCAGGGGGTGCTCTACGCAGCCACTGGGCTGGACTACGACGTTGGTGACGGCTCCTACGAGCTGGAGGCTCAAGTCCAGGACCAGGCCGGGGGTGCAGACACTGCCAAAGTCTGGGTCTACCTGACGGATGTGAACGACGAACCTCCGGTCTTCTTGAACACGGATGGCTCGGTGTATTACATTGATGAGGACGCGCCAGCTGGCTACATCATTGGCACTGTCTATGCCAGCGATGCTGATAAGACCGACACCATCACATTTGGGATTCAAGGCTCCAGTACCTTCCAGATTGATCCCCAAACTGGTAAGTTTAATAGTTGGCTTCATAAAGGCATTAACCTTTTGTATTCTGTTGGGCTTCATTCTAAATTCTTCTAGCCTTAGTTCTAAATTCTGTATTCTAGGGGGAGTGAAGCCTAGTGGTTAGGGTTTGCGACTCATGACCGGAAGGTCAGGGGTCCGAATTCAGCTGCTGGCCATATGTTGTGTGCTTGGGAAATGCACTCCACCCCTACTTGCCTCTCTCAACCCAGGAGATGGACTGGCTTTTCTGCCCAGTGGGGGAGTAGAAAATATTCTCAGTCGAAACCGGAGATAAACGCTGATTTAATGGGCCGTGTTGGCTGGTGACAGACTTAAACTTCACTGGATTCTATAGATATTCTTCAAGAAGCATCAGACCCCATGTTAGTAACAGCAACTCTACACAACCTAAAATATGCCAATATGTTGGTGTCAGTGTGATGAGAGTTACCACATTTCAAATATTGGTATTCTGTGGATACATGTTTAAACATGTATCTAGTCATTTGATAGCATGCTTTTGAAATATCAGTTTTATATGAGTTATTTGGTTTGCTTTTAGTTATTCTAGCAATACGGGTTGTAAGTCATCTGGCAATTGTAGGCTTTTCTAAAAACTCAGATCAGCATTCTTTGCAAAACAAGACCATGTTCATTTTTTTGTCTACCCTAAATTTCTTGCAAAAATGTCCAGACCGTCTCACGTGCATAATCCTGTATTATTTGTAGTGAACTTGGTTATCAATGTCATACGACAGTCCATTTAGTTTTTAAAAGTTCTTCCTCCCCCCCCCCCCCCCCTCCCCACAGGTGTGATTTCCCGCATAGGCACCGGCAACTTACCGGAAGCCAGTTACCGCTTCAACGTCACTGCCACCGACGGAAAGTATACCAGCGATGCTGAAGTTGAGATTCAAGTCAACGATATTAACGACAACACTCCGGTCTTTCCTGATTGCAGTACCTATACCCCATCCATATCCGAAAGTGCAGGGATTGGTACATTCCTCATCAAGGTGTGTTGGTAGTAAATACAGTGTCTTCCATTATTTGTCATGGGGAACAGCTCATCAACTAACAAGAATGACAGCAAACATCACCGCTGTCATTACTTTCCTATTATGCCCAAAAGGTGTATGTGTGCATGTGAGTTTTTTTCTGCATTCAATAGGGGACGTTGAACAATAGAGGACAATAGGGTCCCCAATTCCTGAAGGTCCCCAATTTGGTGATGTGTGCGAAACATATCGGAGGTCTCCTTAAAAAGTTAGTGTATAAACAAAAGAGGGACAATTGGGGTCAAAGAAAGTGGGTTTTTTTTCCCCGTTTTTTTCCCTCAAATACACAAATACAAAGGAATGTCCTCAGTAGGTAGGCTGGATGCCTTGGCCTGCACTGCGTTATGGGGAAGTTTTTCATTGTCAGGGTAATTAGCATGAAGTTGTGGGGACTTTTTGCTGTCCCCACAGCGTTTTCGGTCCCCACAAGTACCTCGTAGAGATGAGTGTATGTCCCCACAACTACGAAACAAGAATCTATGCTCTTGCATGGCTTTACGATAGAGGATTGACACACAAAGGGAGAAGAAAAGATTCTGCCAGCCCTCAAGAGTCTTTTGTTAAAAACGGTCCTCGATCGTATGGTTATGTACATAGTTTAAGGGAGAGTGTTATATTACAGGAACGAAGGGAAACAGCATTGTCGTTGAGCATGTAGAAATTCACGACTGTGTGTCTGTATGTGTGTGTGTGTTTGTTCACAAGTTGATTGCCCACAAAGTTCCCGCGGAGAGGACAACACGCGACTCGCATTCGGCGATTCCAAGCAGGCAGTTTGCCTCATCTATTTCTGACACTTTGTGTGTCTTGTCTCCACAGGTGCAAGCCACTGATGCCGACAAAGGCGTCAATGCGGAAATCGCATACGACATTGCTGGATCCAACAACCCCTTCACGATAGATGCAGTCACCGGTGATATCTCTACCCAGGATCCCCTGGATCGTGAGACCACGCCCACCATCGACATTGTCGTCACGGCACAGGACAATCCCGGAAGCATCTTCAGCAACCAGGGCTTTTGTTTTATCACGGTGACCATCACAGACGTCAATGACAACCGACCAACCTTCCCACTGGAGGATTATGTCGGTTAGTACTACTGGGTGAAGTTTTTGCAACATTGTTTGGTAACAATTAAGCATTGTTAACAAAGTTTGAAGAAACAATTAACCCTTACCCTGCGAGACGCAACACAGTGCATCAGGTGGAAAAAGTCTGGTGCACTTTGATGCATTCAGCTGCCAACACCAGTGCATCAACTGCCACTTCTTAGACAATGAGAGCTAGTCTCATAGAACAATGCTGCAGTTGTATCCTGCCGCATTCGTTGACCACAGACTTTCTTTTTTAAATTGAGACTTTTGACCTGATGGATCTTGCTACACTGGGCAGGCTCGTCACTTAGGCAAGCATTGCATGGAGCTGCGTTTGGCAGAGTTTCTAGCCAAAAATCCCTGGAAGGTTAGGGTTAAAGGGGCACTACGTCCTGAAATCCACAGAATTTTCATGTTTTGAAGTGTTTACTTACCCTATTTCAAACATCTGGTTGAAAGGAAACCAACCAATGTTTACCGTTCCAGAGAAAAGACGAAAAAAACCCTGGTTGTTTACACTAGACACGAAGGAGTACGCATACGTTTTTCCTGTCGTTTCAGTTAATTTACGATACACGTTGTGTATGTCACATAAAATTACACACAGCACCAATGCACAAATGCGGTTTCTTACTTGTCCGCAAAAGGCGAACACTTTATGGCAGGAATCCCAACTAGCATGAAAAGCTGACTTTTGGGGTCGCAAAAGTGGACCCCGACATTCCCCCGACCCTGGCATATTTTGCCGTACATGTTTCATGACATCAAATTTACTCCGCGTGAAGTGTAGAGTTAACTGATGCACCACGTTTTAACATTCTTGGTGCATTCCCTGCACGCGAGTACTGAAGATGATACACACAGTAGGGCTGTTGTTAAGCACTTTCGGTAAATGATTCTGAAATTTGGAACTTCGTCAACTGGTCAACGCTTTTGTATTTGATGTATTGAGCCCAATCACTTCAAACATTGGGGAGTGTGGCCTAGTGGTTAGGGTTCGTGACTCATGATCAGAGTGTCTGGGGCTTGAATCCAGCTGCGGGTCATATGTTGTGTCCTTGGGCAAGCCACTTTACCCTCATGTGCCTCTCTCCACCCAGGAGCTTAACTGGGCACAGGCTGTAGCTGGGGAGTAAACTGTGATGGACTAGCATCCCATCGAGGGGAATAGAAAAATTCTCAGTCGTTTCATGGTACTGAAACCAGAAATAGGTCTCTCTCAAAGACAGCCGTAAGCTCTGTAGGAGAACTGCAACTGCGTATTTTACGCAATTAAGCACGTATTGGGCAGTGTTGAAAATGTTCCAAACACGCACGCTTTCTTTTTCTGTTTCTGTTTGAAACACGACGCAGCTGATGCACGTTATGCAAGTTGACACTCAAAATGCTGATGCACGTGGCTGGTCTGTAGGAAATTTTGATGAGCCACATTGGCTCGTGACAGACTTGACTTTATTTTTTACATCAAGCGTTTTCCTGTGTGTTAAGTGAATGAATCCTTGTACCATTTGTGTTTTACCCGGCACAGTAATTATCAGCAACACAGTACAACCATTCACTACGATTCTGACGGTTCAAGTTGAGGATGCAGACCTTCCCACACCAGCCGGTTTTACATATGGCCTAACAGGGCAAAATCCAGTGCTGTTTGAAATTGATCAGGATGGAGAAATCTCTCCTGTAGCAGATCTGAGCGGTGTAAGTACCTTTTTAGTGAGCAATCTGTGAATCTACTTTTTCTGTACATTTTCTATCTCAAGACAAATTTTCGTCTTGCCTGTTGTGTGTGTGGTATTCAATGTCGAATTCGAAATTAATTTGTGCAGCTTCCTTAGTAAGCATTATGTGGTTGGAACACCTCGCGTGTACATTTCAGACGGAAACGATAGTCATTTTTAAAGGTCCAAAATTCAATCTTTTTGGAACAAGCTCGATATGATCTCAGAAGCTGCGTGCCGCCAACGAATGTGTGTTGCGCTTTGCGTGTAATGTGTATGGCCATTGTCTATGAATGAGATCTTGAGAGCTGCTTTGCGGCATGCATGCGGCTATTGTCCCCCTGGATTATCGCCTTCCATTAAGCCAATTTCCTTATAAGGTAACGAGTTGTGGAAGGGCATTCCATACTATAGTCGGAGGGGTGTTTCGTAAAACATGAAGTAAAATTGTTGAACGAAATGGTTGGTAATGTCTTGTTTTTGACTAAATTTGATTTTTGGACCGAAAAGATTTGTGTTTTTGACCGAACAGGTATTTATGAATGGGAATCAATATGTGCTCGGCCGGTGTTAAAGGGAATATACATCATTTGCTTTTGGAGGGTTGGAAATATATAGCAAATATAGTTACACTGACTTTTTTGAGGTTTTGGGTTTGAAAATGCTATAAAAACCAAGAAAAACAATCATTTTCCTGTAGTCTGGTTCCCTGACTCCATATAAGAAGAAACAGAGCAGTTTACATACATTGGGGAATTGTAAGGTCAGGGAACCAGTCTAGCTGGCTTGTACCCGTTCATAGGTGTGTAATCGATTGCAAACAAGTGCGATGGTCAATTGGGGCCAGTATTTGAAAAAAATACTGCCGACCAGCGTTGGAAATTGATACAAAAATACCACTTTTCTTGAAAATGACAGTATACATGGTGCCATGATTTTACAGGATGCTTTACACTGTCATTCACTAACAGTCCAGCAAGGTATTTCAAAATGATTTGGTAGTTTTATTTTTTGATGTTTGCAAATGTTGTATTTTCCCTTTAAACACTCTGTTTAAGACTGGTGGGAGACTCCGACCGGTCTTAAACAGAGTTATAATACCTCGCGAACACACATTTATTCCCTTATTAATACCTGGAGCTGGGCACCATGTATAGGATATACAGTGTTATAAACTCTCTGATGAATTGTCTTGATGATTTTCTGCTAAATCAATTTTTTTGCCTCTCCGCAGTATGATGACAATACCTTTAACTTCAAGGTCGAAGCCGAAGATGGCCCCAATAAGGCCAAAAGCAACGTTCAGGTCAAAGTTCTGGCTACTGGTGTTGATCAGCCCCCTGTATGGGTCAGCACATTTCCAGATATCACTGTAATGGAAAACATCTCCATCAATGATGTTATAGGAACTCTGGAGGCGCGGTCCCAGAGTGGCAACGGAGTGGGCTACAGGGTTGTACAAGGCCAGATTCCGCAAACAAACTCTGAGGGCCAGTTTGCCGTTCAAAACGTCGGTGACAGCATGATAGCCAACTTGTACATCAGCGCTCCACTGGATTATGAAACGACTAAGTTGTACGTATATAAAATGTCCTATTCAAAGTAAACAGCGGTCACGGATTAAAAAATAACAAATGAATGTCTTTATTGTAACACAGCCAGTGCTTACTAGCCAAGATAGAGCTGAAGGTGAAGGCGCAGAAAATGATGTCTAAAAAGATGTCAGGCCAGATTTTTGCTTGCCACATAACCCCCCCAAAATGTAATTCAACAACTGCCCATCATTTTGAAGTTTGAAATAGTAATTAAGCATTACGTAACCCCCCCCCCCCATTTCTGAATTCTTCCACTGAATGTGGTTAAGTTTTTAATATACAGGGTGAGTCAAATATTAAAAAAAAAAAATAGCAAGACCATTTCTTAATAAATTTCTGCATGTAGCACTTTCAAAATGTAGCATATGAAAGCCCAATCAATAAGCTTTCTTTTAGTACAAGATTTATTCAAATCACTCCTCTACTTGTCAAGTTACGGAGTTTTTAAACTCAACCACTGTTTTAAAGTTCTGTGCACGGATCACAAAAAGGTGTGCGTTCTCTCAGCAAAACAATTCACACACATCCCTGTGTGAATTGTTTTCGTTCTGCTGAAAGAATGCACACCTTTTTTGTGAGCCGTTGACAGAACCTTAAAACGGTGGTTGTGTTTAAAATTCTGTAACTTGAAAAGTACATGAGTGATTTGAATGATTCTTGTACTAAAAGAAAGCTGATGAATTGGGCTTTCATGTCCTAGATTTTGAAAGTGTTACATACAGAACTTCACTAAAATAATAGTCCCGACATTTGGGTTTCGTTTTTTTTTTTTACTTACCCTGTAGGTTGGAATCTAATTTATTTTTGCATCCCCTGCTTCTGTCTGATTTTGTTTGCCTACAGTTACAAATTGCAGATGGAGGCTTATGATGACGGCAACAGGTTGTCCATCCTTGGAACCCAGACAGTGAATGTTCAGGACGTGAATGACGAAACTCCACAATTCCCCGTTACAAACTTCTTTGTGGCCTACCCAGAGGATGTGGATCCACCATTCTTGGTCACCCAAGTGCAGGCTGAGGATGCTGACACAGAACCAGCTTTCAAAACAGTAATTTGGTTTTGGCTTTTGGCTTTTTTCGCAAAAAGTCTATGAAAGACTCTATTTTTTATGCCCCGCGGCGAAGCCGAAGGGGCATACTGTTTCCGCCTTGTCCTTCCGTGGGTGTGTGGGTGGGTGGGTGGGTGGGTGGGTGGGTGGGTGGGTGTGAGTGTGTGTGTGTGTGTGTGTGTGTGTGTGTGTGTGTGTGTGTGTGTGTGTGTGTGTGTGTGTGTGTGTGTGAGTTTGTCTTACATACGCAATGTGGACTTCCGAACAAAAGACGTCCACATAATGTAGGTAGCACCGACGTTGTGTGGACTTACCCCACGTCCACACAGTGTTTCCCCATTTCTTGAAAACAGGTTTAGAGGCATTTTTGGGTTAGGTTTATCTGTAGCAGAATGAAGAGAAACACTAAAGGGAATCATAGAAAAAAAATTGGGTTGAAAGAGTTTTCACAGTTTGAGAAAAATGAGTTTTTTCACTGGTTTTTCTTAACTACACGAAAGCAATGGAAAGTCCACACTAGTCATGTGAAACAAGTATTTGTGTGTGTGTGTGTGTGGGTGTGGGTGTGCTTGTCTTACATACGCAGTGTGGACTTCCGAACAAAAGACGTCCACATAATGTAGGTAGCAGCGACGAAGTGTGGACTTGCCCACGTCCACACAGTGTTTCCCCATTTCTGGAAAACAGGTTTAGAGGCATTTTTGGGTTAGGTTTATCTGTAGCAGAATGAAGAGAAACACTAAAGGGAATCATTGAAAAAAAATTGGGTTGTAAGAGTTTTCACAGTTTGAGAAAAATGAGTTTTTCCACTGGTGTTCCTTAACTACACGAAAAGAAAGGAAAGTCCACACTAGGTATGTGAAACAAGTCTGTGTGGGTGGGTGGGTGGGTGTGTGTGTCCGGATAAATCTTGTCAGCGCGATAACTTGAGAAATGCTTAACATATGAACTTCAAATTTGGTTTGTGGATTGTTCTTGTTAATCCTAAGAAGCCTATTGCATTTCGGGCCAAAAGGTCAAGGGTCAAGTTCACAGTGGCTAAAACAATAGAAATCTTGTCAGCGCGATAACTTGAGAAATACTTTACATGTGAACTTCAAATTTGGTTTGTGGATTGTTCTTGGCAATCCTAACAAGCCTATTGCATTTGGGGCCAAAAGGTCAAGGGTCAAGTTCACAGTAGCTAAAACAATAGAAATCTTGTCAGCGCGATAACTTGAGAAATACTTTACATGTGAACTTCAAATTTGGTTTGTGGATTGTTCTTGGCAATCCTAAGAAGCCTATTGCATTTGGGGCCAAAAGGTCAAGGGTCAAGTTCACAGTGGCTAAAACAATAGAAATCTCTTTTGAGATCATAGGGATTAGGGATTAATTCATATAAAACCTACAGAAGACACTAATGCTGTCAATGAACGTTCCATGTGACCAAGGTACATGTAAGTTGATGTTAGAGTGGTGTTATGTCATGGGAACAGTCACGGTTGCGGGGCATTTGTGTTTGTAAACACACCTGACTTGTTTTGTATCAGATTTTACGTTTTTTTGTGCGTGGTCTTTTCCAAATCGTGTCACATTTTAATCAAACTTGCTCAAAAGACTTTTTTTGGTCGGATCAGTCATGTCAGCTGGTTTCTTCAGTGTTTTTTATTACTTACCTAATATGCAATAAAATATTGGATTCATGCTTTTTGTGTGTGTAATCTTCCAATGGTAATCCTGTAAACATTTGTGAGGTTATGATGTGTCCTGTGACATCCAGAATTATAGTTTCCATTGAACTAAAACTTGGTGCATACAAAGACGATGTTTAGTTAAAACAAACCTTTAAGTGATGTCATGATAACATCACCATGTTTGTTGTTGGGGGGGGGGGGATTTTCATATTATATTGACAACAACAAATAACAAGGAGAATTCCATTCACACAATATGTACAAGGGGATTTGTTACGCAGCTTAAACATGTCTTTTCCGTTTTGTAGATAACATACTCTCTGGACCCAAGTTTTTCGGATGCCCCATATTTCAGCATCAACCCAACAACTGGTGCTCTCACCAGCCTTATCAAGTTTGATCGTGAGTCTGAGGATAGTTACTCTGTTCAGGTCGTTGCGACAGACGGTGCTCCCTCTAGCCTACCTAGTGCTGGCGGTCCTAATAAAGGTAGGTTGTTTCCCCCCCCCCCCCACCTCATCCCTACCCCACACCTTTTAATCTCGTTGGGATTCAGTTTTCAAGATGTCCCACTATTTATGTTTTTTTGGCTTTGAACATGTCTGTTTTAGGTCTCCGTGCAGGGTTTGTTTACAGTGTTGTGTGACCATTCATAAGAGATCATATTCATCAAAATGTGCCATTCCCCCGAAAAAGATTTGTTAACTGCTTCGGCTACTGATTGTGAAGATGGTGCGGGGAGAAGCAATGAGTGACAAAGTGCCTTGCCCAAGGGTAGATGCACCACAACCCCAGGCTGGACTCAAACCCACAACCTACAGAATTACCCGCAGACCCCGAATTCAGTGCTCATCCATGACGCCACTGCACTCCATCCAATTTATCCTTCTCTACCGGTACTTCACCCTGTCGGCGAAGGGCAAAAGCCAATACTGAATTTTCTTTTTTCTACCGCCAGGTTATCTGCGTGTGGTGATCAACGTGGTGGACAAAAATGACAACCCCCCCGTCTTTGACGCACCCATGTACATCCGGACAATCAGAGAGGATGAGCCAGTCGGGTCTGAAGTCATCCAAGTGACTGCAACTGATGTGGATCCAGGTAATTTGATGGTCTCATGAACTTCACGTCTCTCCCTAAACATCTTGAAATTTGTGCCGTCTAAGCAAAGGGCCTGTCACATTATATGCGCCCTCATAGGGGACCTTATGGCAACCAAAACTATTTAATAAATTGAACTATTGCAGCAAGGACGCAAGATAATAGCAATTTTCTGTCTCAAGTGGCCAGAAAGTAGCTCAAGCTACGCTCATTCTGTGCTTATCCCGCGCTTACGATGCGCTCAACTCGCTCTCTGTGTGTCCCTGTCAAGCCCAATAACTCGACCTAGTCGCTGCCGCTGCGCTGCCACTGCACTCACACTACGCTCTGCTTGCTGTTGCTACGTCCTAGTAGCTCACGTCGTGTTCTCTATCTGACCAAAATACGCCCACGCGACGCCACTTGCGCTGTATAAATTCTGACTGTATCAAATTCCATACTTTATTATCAAATGAACAATTCCATCATATTGTCCACCAATCTGCCTGACTTACACCCAAAGAACTTATACTCCCCCCCAAAAAAAGTTCAGAAAGACAAAACTGTTTCTTTTTCCTACCCCTGCCTAAACAGACAGCATACCGAGGTACCTGATTACAGCAAACAACACAGGCGGTGCCTTTGAGGTAGACCCAGCTACTGGAGCCATTTCCATCGCCTCTCCCCTGGATTACGAAACCCAGCGGGAATACTGGCTGATGTACACGGCCAACGACGGTCTGAACGTGGCCAGCACCGTCATCCGCATTCAGCTCGAGAATGTGAACGACGAAAAACCTGAATTTGAAGCCCCGGTCTACACGGCGGAAGTGAGCGAAAACGACCCGAACGTCCCTCGCCAATTACTACAGGTTGGTCATGTGTTGGTTCATGAGGGCTACCGGAAATAAAGAGCAACAATAGAGACGATGAAACCCTGCAAGTTGGTCTTTAGAAATCTCTGTATCTTTTAAGTTAAATGCTGTGGTGTTTGATATTTCAATATAAACAAAGGAGAACAAAAGTAGGGAGGGGGCAGTCTACAAGAGTTGTTCCCCATAACTACCCGTGTGTACAGAATCGTATCTTTGTGTGAGACAAGTGCATCTCTGTGCGGGTACATGGCAGCAATAACACTCGAAATTTCTATCATTTGTACTGCTGATGGTGTGATAACACCCAGTATTAATCAACAAGATTTACGCACTAATTCGTGTGCTGATTGTGTCTTCACACACTTATTCCTTTCCTTACCACCAAATTGTTTGCTCAGTCATGCAGAAATCACTAAAGCGTGAAAAATGGACCGCAAGTTGAAAACTTCTTCTTTTTTTCAACCCAGATTTTCACTGCCAAGGAGTGATTAAAATCAAAGGTGTTGTGTGTAACGTTTGTTCCTTGAACTTTACTCTTTTATGTGCTGTAAAAATCAAGGCCATATGTGCACAACTGAGAAAGTTGGGCCTGTTTGTTGATATGGCCCCAGTTATAAAACTGCAAGCCATTTCACCACATGACCAAATGGCACTCCATACCTCAAATTGTGTTTGGATACTTCTGACGCACTTTTCATAATTTTTTTGTAATGGTAACACTACTAATAAACTACACCACTAGAATGATCCGAAAACACTCTTTCAGCTGGTATATGGTTGATGTATGGGTGGCCAAACATACCAACATGCCAGCTTGCTGAAAAGCAGTGAATAAATCTGTGTTGAGGGTGGTCTGCGTGTGGTTCCCTAAAGTCTAAAGTCGCCTATGGTGAGCAGCAGGGGGGTACTTCCCTGTCGACAAAAGTTAACCATGGTAAGGAACGGGTTAAGCTGGGTGTGTGAACAAGAGTAGGAGGTACACTTCGGTACTCTCTCTATAAGACTCATTTATTCTTGAATGTACAGGTCAAGGCTGTAGATGGCGATGCAGATGCTAACCAAGCGGACATACGCTACTCCCTGGAAGGCACAGGAGCCGGTACCACCTTCACCATCGACGCCGTCACCGGCCAGATCACGCTGACTGAGATGCTGGACCGAGAATCCGTCAGTATCTGGAAGCTCTTGGTGAAGGCCACGGACGGGGGGAGCACGGGCACATCCCTGACGGGATACGCCGATTTGGAAGTGACGGTGTTGGACGAAAACGATAACAGTCCGTTCTTTCCTGAGCTGGAGTATAGGGGGTCTGTCCCTGAGAACTCCCCCGGCGGTAAGTATTGCCTTGTGGAACATCTGTTGGTGGAAACTGTGCACAGCGCCCCCAGTGAGATATAGTACTGATTTTGAAGGACGCTTGATGTGCTTTCTCCTCTGAAAGTGGTGTGTGAGAATCAAAATCTTAACAAGTTTTACCTAAGTGTAGGCTCAAACTGTCCTTGCTTTTTTTGTGTGATTAGCAATTGAGTCAATGTGTGAAAAAGGGAAATCATTTTTTTTTTTTCAAAAAGCTATTTCAACATCAGATTCTTCTTTTATCAGAGGGAATAAAACTGCGTTTGTCCATGCACATTCACATATGTTTGCAATTGTTTTGCTTCTTATTTTCATAGAAATTTAATTGTCCAAAATGCTATTTGAAGCACAGCTTTATGATGAGACATAGCTTGTCAGATTAGAGACTTTATAAGTAAATCTTTCTTATGATAACATGTTTCTTAGGTCACATTCTGCTCTTCGGCATGTTGAAAATTGGGCTTTTTTTCAACCCCCACCCCCACCCCCCCCCCCCCCCCCACCCCTCCTCACAGGAACCCGTGTCATGCAGGTCACGGCCATAGATTATGACGATCCCAACGGATTTGGCCGCATCACCTACTCCACCATCAGCAGTTCAGAGATTCCCAACGACGGATCGGGTCTCTTCCAGATTGACGGATCCACGGGCTGGGTCACAGTCAAGAGTGGGGCCGTACTGGACCGGGAGAAAAACGACACCTACACGCTCAGGATCCGGGCTTCAGATGTTCCCAATAGCGAGGGTAGGTTTGATGCAAAAAGTCAAAACCAGGGTTCGCCCTTAACCTTTTTTTTTTCACTAGTCAGCTGGACTAGTGAAACCGACTCTCAACTAGTTCGTGGGCCTTTTCACTAGACTGCATGTGTTTTTATCCCCCTGGCTGTAAGCTGGAGGGGGATATTGCCATTGCATATTCCTTCTGTGTGTCTGTGGGTATTTAAACACCGACAATTGTGGACAAGGGACAAAAGGATTTGGGCACAAACAAAAGGTCCACGATTGACCGATAGTGCACGATTGAAATTCAGTACAAAACCAATGAGAGCTGTTACTAAAAAAGTTAGTACAAACAAAGGAATGAGGATTAGGGACAATGGGGGTCCACCATTGCCGATGTTTACAAAGATGGGTGTATGTGTGTGTGTTCCATTTCGGTGAGGTTCACTGTGTGTGTGAATTAAGTCATCAATCTCCACCAAACTTGTTTTGTGGTTATTGCTCATGGTATCTGGTAAAGTGATTAGACTCAGGCAACAGGTCATGACCTCCAGGGTTACTCTACAGACCACGTGTGCTTTATAAATACCCATTATTATTATTATACTTATACGTGTAAAGGTATCATTAAGGAGACACGTTATCGTAATTTCTTCGCACGATGGGAGACATCGGTCCTTAGGGAGACATTTTCATGTCTCCCTAATGTCGCTATTACCGTAGGTTATATTTGTTGCTCATGGTCTAATTAGTAAACATACCGAAATTTGTGGGAAAAGGACAAGGGAATATTGGGTTAGAGCACATTTAAGTTTGAAATTTTTTTTGCACAAGTCTATGGGGATGTCTCCCAAATGTCCAATCCAGGTAATTATTATTATTATTATTATCATTTTCATTATTAGCTTTGACCGATGCCATAATTCAAATTCTGGATGTAAACGACAATGCACCTGAGTTTGTGGGAGGCCCCTACGCGACGTCCGTGGAGGAGACGCAGCCCGTCGGAGCCACGGTCTGGGAAGTCTCGGTCACCGATGCCGACGTCGATTTCAACGAAGAGGTCCAGTTTAACATCATTGGTGGCAACGTCGGGGGCAGCTTTGAGATCGTTGCCGACCCGTTGACGCTCATCGGAATCATCAGGATTGCCAGAGTGAGTGACTTCAAGCAAACCATTCATAAATCCTTCCTCCCTGTTTTTGTTTTTGTTCCAAAGAACTTTGCCTGTTCTATCGGTTTTAGCCCAGGGGAAAGGTGTGCAGACCTCCAAATGTGAATATGATGCAGAATGAGAATTGTCCATTTATTGAACCATTACTTGTTTCCAGTACAGCCCCACACTTAGCCCATATTCTCATTATTGATAATTCATAAATACCGAAGACAGTTTACCCATTCCTATTGGTCAAGAGCCTGTCTTATGGGTGGTTTGAAATGGTTGATAAAACACCTGCTGGCTGGTTTTAAACACTTTCCCGTTGTCATGTGAAATTTGGACTCATATGAAATCATGTGTGCGTCGTGCGTCCTGCCAATGCTTGCGCGCGCTTCGTCGCAAAACAAAACGAACTACTAATTTAAATTTCCTACGGTGCGTCTTAAGAAGCACCGTTGGAAAGGCCTTCTTTTATTGATTTCTTCTAAATGACAGCTTTCCAGAGAGAATAATTTCACAGGGAGTTTAGTCCCCTTATTATCATTCAACCAAGTATGTTTTTCAACAAGAATTACGCCAGTTTCTTTTTGTTTAGCTGCAAATGATGGACTGTAGCTTGAAGTATAAAAAGAGTTCAGTACAAAAAGGCTATTAAAAAATGGCTCCTTTGTACATGACAAAACTTTTTACACTATTTACACAGATTCGTGAAACAAGACGATCAATTAACATGCATTGAAAGTCCTTTTAGCCAAAAAGGAATGCATTATGCCAAAAGTTTCGCTGTGAGTGGTGCGACTATATGGAATAATTTGCATGAACAACTCAGAACTTTAGATTCCTTAGGTACAGTGAACATTCAAATCAGAACTACGCAAAGCCATCAGTTGGTGATATTTAATTCAAAATGCTCTGATCTACGGAGTTACACTTGGTTACCATGGTATTAATTTGGAGCCGGATCGGGAATTTTCCCGTGTTTTTTTTTCCCCAAAGGGTTTTTGTGGTGTTTTCACCTATCCCGTAATCAGGAATTCATGCCTAATAGTTGAATGTTTATATATCGCTATATTTCTGAGATACTTGTATTTGTAAATATTTTTGTTTGCCGTATGTTTCACCAATGTACTTTTCCTTATGAGTTTAACTTCATTTAACATTATTTACTATTTTGTAATGTATGCTGGGCCCCAATGGAAACCTGTTTTTAAATGTTTGGGTGATATCTTTGGTAAAGAAATGGAATGATTAAAAACTGAATTAAATGCCCCCTTTTTTTTTTTTTTGTGTTTAAATTTTCCCGTCCAACAGCAATTGGATTACGAGTCCCCAAATAAACTGTACACGCTGACCCTCACCGTCGATGATAACTCCGGCCCGGATTCCCAGAGCCAGACTACGATCACGATTGACGTCCTTGACGTGAACGACATAGCGCCAACCTTCAATCCCGCTGAATACGTCTCTGCTAACGTCCTAGAAAGTGTGGCTGTAGGCACCTACATTGGCACAGTCAGCGCCTCGGACCCTGAGGCAGGCTTGTTTGGCCAGTTCACGTAAGTAAGACCGTGCAAAATTTAACTGGTTACTGGAGGGTGAACCCCGAGGCACCCGGTAAAACCCTGTCAAACTTCATAGAACCTCGAGGTAACTTCAAGTTATCTCCTGTATAATTTCCCATTCTCCCATCATCTCTGTCAGTTGTAGCAGTTGGGCAATTCCACGTTTACTGACGTTACATTTTCGTAACGTGAGTAACCGATTTTGTGCGTTTTGTTTATCATACATAACACATTTTTCTGGATGTCATCGTTGGTGCTTAGGTCGGTCTAGGTCTACTGTATCTACCATGGGGATAACAGTTATTAAACCTTTTCAGTCAGTCAATTACAGCCCAAGGAAACTCAAAAGTACATCAAAAGTGTAACGTGAGTAACCTTGGAATTGCCCAGTTAAAGGTAGAGTACATCATTTGTAGCTATCCAAACAAAACCATTGTTGAAAAGCTTACTTGGTTTAAAGTTAGTTAAGGCACTAAACTCCCGGTGAAATTACTCATTCTGGCATGCTATCATTTTGAAGAAAACAGTAAAAGAAGGGCATTTCCAACGATGCGTCTAAAGACAAATTTTTGGAAAGCTCCTTGAGTTTTTTAATTCAGTGACTGGTGCGTGGAAGTGTTGACGCAATGCACACTCGCACGTGCGCTCGGTTGCTACAATTTGTCAGTTCAGTGCGTGACGTCGCATAGCTGCAATCGCCTGAATGAGAACGCATCCCGGACGCTGATTTCGGGCACACTTCAAAACAGACTCGGAAACTTTTGAATTGAAAATTGAGATTCAAAACAGACTTGGCAATCTTTGAATTGAAAATTGAGATCCTAGAATATTGCCTTTTCAGAATGTACAGCATTCACTGAGCTAAAACCACATCAGGTTGGTTGCTAAGCACCCTTCTTTAGACTTTGAGCACTTTTGTTACTTCAAACGAAAAAAAAAAACAACGCCCAAATCTTCCCTCTGTCCCCCCCCCCTCCCACCACGGTGTACATTCATTGTACTTAACCTGATAAGTGGCATCACATCCCATGTGAAGTAATGGTGGTTTGGGTCCCACTCTTCCCAAATGTCTGGGAAGATTTTGAAGTATTTTTCGGAGGGTTTTCCCTTTTCTGCTTGAGGTTGATGTACATGTACAGGTACCCTGGCACTGCCACTCCTAATTCTGGTTGAACTTTTTTCCTCTCCCTTGTAGGTCAATCCATGAATATAAAGTCCTCTTTCTTTTCTATCCCTGTTACAACTATTAACATGAGTTATTTTATTATTTTGATGCCCTCATCAAACTTTTATTCTCTACAGCAGCCGAAACCGCCCTGCCTATTACTCCATGAGTGATTATGAACGGCAAACCATATGTACCTACCTACCCAACAAAATAAAAAATCATCTGAAGTCTTTCTTAATGATACTTGAATTCAAATTGCAAAGTACCATAGGTAAGGACGGGAAAATGTCGCAATTTGGACCCAGCATTTATAGAAAGACCCTTAGGATCTTTGCGTGTTCAACTTTCCCGAAGTCTGGGGTGTTTTTTTAGACCAGTCCCTTTGCATCAACCTCATCAACAACCTTCAAAAGTTGTGACACCTCTTGATTTGTATCAATCATTTTTCACTTTTCACTCTTGAAAATTCCTTGTTGTGTGGATTGTTTCAGGTTCTCAATTGATCCGGCCTCAGATCCCGATGGTCTGTTCAGCATCGAAGAAATACTCCCCGTAGGGGCCGTAAAAAGAGCGGATGTGCAAACGGCAAAGCCTTTGGACAGGGAGAAAGTAGAGACACACGTCTTGACCCTCAGGGCCACTGACCTGGGTAAGCTTGACCTTTGACCTAACCATATCAGGGGCCGAGTTCACGAAACTCGTCTTATCTTGAGACGCGTCTTAGGACTTAAGACGAGTCCCCGCTCTAAGATCGATCTTAGCTAAGATGCGTGCCAAGACCGATTTCACTAAACCCATCTGAAGCAATACGCATCAAAACTACCAATTTCATGGCTGTTTTGTTTGTTTTTACCGCTTGATGAAACAGTAGTTGAAAAGAAATGTGCAGAAGCAAGTTCCTGCAAGCGTGCATATAAAGAACACGAACTTTCGCCTGAAAAATTACTCTGCTCAATCAATTTCACACGCAAGGTAGTTCTATGCCAGATACGATAGAGTCGTTCTTGCTTCCCGTTTCATCACTCTATTTTAAAAAGTCAACTAGTTGTTGATCTTTAATTAAATTTTGTAAATAAGCTATGTTTATTAAAACTGCCCACATATCAGAAATGTTTTCAAATCTGTTTCTACAGCGGTTTTCTTCCTCAAAACTATAACTCTAGACCAACACTCGTCTTAAAGGAGAAGACATTGCAATGATTCCCTGACGATGTAACAATTAACGCACGTGTTAATGAGATTAGACGACCCTCAGACCGATCTTAAGTTAAGACGAGTTCAGCTGCGTTGCTAAGGAAGTTAGGACATGTTGAAAGCGTTCTAATAATTTGGTGAAATTGATCCTAGGACAAGTCACGAATTAAGACGAGTAAACCCTTCCTAAGACGCCTCTTAGCGTTTCGTGAAATCGGCCCCAGGAGAGGTAGAGGAAATTTTGGACTGGTAACATGACCTCCTCATTGTAGTTGTGGACATCACGTCTGAATTTGTATTGGTTGCCACACATTGTGAGGATTCTAGTTTGATTGTAGTTTGACCGGCTTTGTTTTCAAGTGTGGCTGCACGTGGAAAACACTGCCTTTTAATGCTCAATTTGCATCAGACGTCAGTAGAACACCATGTTGTATTTCCACTGACTCTATCTGAATGAAAATAGTTTTATTGCCTGATCCTTACATCCAGAGTTTAGAGTTTTGTTGAAGCATACCTGCTGTGACCTCTGAACTACCCTGAGGGACAGTTAACTTTTTTGTTTAAAATAGTAAACAGGAAGTCTTGGGTTGGAGTCCATCCCCACTAAGCATGTGAAATCTCTTTTCTGACATCACTGATTATTCATTGCTTATAAAATAGTGTCGAAGGGGAAAAAACACAATTTGAAGATTTTTCAATGCATTTTTTTTGCTTCACCTAATCCCAGGTGTGCCACCATTGACTGGCTACGCGACCCTCAACCTGACCCTGGACGATGTCAACGACACTCCGCCGACGTTTGCCACGGATTACCGGCCCACGATCAAAGAGAACCTGGCCGTAGTTCAGTTTGTAGGGTACATCAGTGCGAAGGACGAAGACCCCACAGGCGGACCACCGTTCACTCTGGTAGTAGAGCCAAACACGGACACCAACAGTTTTACATGGTTTGATGTTGACGGTAAGGGCCCAGTTAAAAATCACAGTTTCATTTCAGGTCAACAGTTTCAAAGTGAGAACAATTTAGTTTGGGTCCAAGAACCGGTGTAGGGGAGTTTCTAAGCACTCCAGTTTGTAGGCCAAAGGCATGTTTAACTTCCAAGCCAGCATTTAAGATCCGAAATCAAAATTTCATTTTTGAGTAAGGGAGTGGAAATTACTGCGTGGCATTGTTACAACTGCAATGTTACGAACAGCAGGGAATATCGATCACACAGTGCTTGTCTGCACAGTGCTTTTATGAATTACCTGGTCTTTGTTTGGGCACTTTCAAGTCAAAAGGAGCCAATTACAGGCATGTGTGTTGTGTGCCTAGCAACTTCTCCTCACGTCATCTTTAACTTTTGAACTTTACAAATTGCATCATTTTTTAGAAACTGTTGTCAATCTTGGACGTTTTACAGACTTTGGTGGCAGACAGGTTATCAAAATGTAGCTAACAAAATTCCCAAACGGACAGTAATGGTGTCATCACAAGACGATCAGATGCAAAATTGTGACCCCGCCAATGAGTGTGGACTTTATTTTTTTGGCGGTGTTTATATTAATGTAATAAATAGTGTCAACACACACTTTTTTTGGGGGGGGGGGTTAAAACTCTTCCTCTTACTCTCTTACTCTGGGGACTTTCGTCGGACATTAGTGTTGGCTCTCCAGCATTGTCTTTCTATCATGCAACTATGAATTTCCCTTGGTTGTAGCTGGGTGTCTTGGCACAGTGGTCATTGGTCTTCCCACGTTTCGCTTCCCTTGGGTTGGCTGCCAGAGAATCAAGCTGGCCACTGGTTGGTTACTGGATCTTCTGTAATGCCCTGCAAACTGGAGCCGTCTCCTCTCGACAGTAGTTGTTACTTACGGTAGTTGTCCGTAGAGCTCTTGATTGGTGGTGTGACTCTTCCAGCTGATGTTGAGTGCTGACCTAAGCAGTCTGGTGTAGCAGTCATCTGTTGACCTTCTTACTTTTGTTGTCATTGTCCAGGTCTCACAGGGAACAATCTCAGCATTTCCTCCAAGGCTATCAGCTTTGACAGAGAAGCGCAGGCTACTTACTCCATCCCGATCCGAATCACAGACAAGGCACCCAACGGCAACAGCGGCGTCCAAAACCTGATCGTGGAGATTGAGGACGAAAATGACAATCAACATTACGGCACCACCAAGGAAATGCTGGTCTACAGTTTTGAGGGTGAGCTATCCTTGCTTTAGGAATTCAGTTTTGTACGCTTTTAAACACAATGTTTTCTTCTTTTTTTTTTTTGCCTATTAAATGATTAATTTGAGATCATGATGATAATGAAACTTTTCATCAACATGGCATGTATGTAATAATCTAGGTGCGGCAACATTATTACCCCTGCTTGTCAGGCCATTAAAGCATTCCTTAAAACTGAGTTGCCTGCCCAGCCGCCGATGTCACGAAATACTACGCATTTGCGTAAGACCAATTGCGCCACAATTTGTTGCATAAGTTGCGCAGCATCTCGTGCCTTACAACATTTCATTTATGACAATTTCATGAAAGTTTCACTGTGCGTAATTATGGCATAACTTGCGCAATCATTGAAAATGACCTCGACTGAAAGCGGCCTATTTTACCAGCAAATCGTGATCGTCGTGGAGCACAGCGTTTTAAGGTTGACACAAGACACTCACAGCTTTGTGTTTGTAGTAAACTGAAGTGAAGTTTGTTTTTAGTTTTCCAAAGAAAGTTGGTTTTCCGAAGAAAGTCAGTTTTTCAAAGAAAGTCGGACAACATTTTTTTTCAAAGTGGCGGACAGAGCTGATTCAACCACTGTTTCATGAACAAACAAAATCAAACACAAACAACCGTCGTAAATGCTGCTATAATCCTCGTCCAAGATGCTTAAATAATCTAAAACGTTTCGCAGCTACTCAAAGTTTTGTGAAATCGATCGTAACAAATTTGTTGCATAAGTCGTATGCATGACGTAAATTACGTACTGTTTCGTAATATCGGCTGTAGAGATTATAATTTTCTCAGTGGTAAAAAATGCAAAAAACACTTAAGGATCACTATGGCTGGTACCTTTGTTTTTATATTATGAGCCTATTGACCATTTAACACAACTTTTAGTGTTAGGTAGAATGGTGAATCCTCGGTTGCTCGGCTTCACATCTATGCATGTATGAAAAAAATGCTTTGCTTTGCATTGGGATCTAGTATCATTGCTTAGCATAAAAAAATGTAAGAAGAAAAGCTTTGCAACATTATAGTCATTGCAGACATCAGCGTCATGTTTATGCTGAAATCAGCTTGCCTGTACTTTTAGTTTGTGATGACCGTTGACTGATAACTAGCAAATGTGCAGAAGACTCATCCATTTGCTGTAGAATACAAACATTAACCCTAACCCCCTAGAATGGTTTATTCAACAGTTAACGTTTAGGTAGCTAAAGTCTGTTGTACATCAGCCGTAGAAAATGTAGCAATTGCTTTTTTTTTCGGAGCCGTATATAGAGTTGGGACAATTATCAATTTGGACGCCATTTTAGGTCCAACTCATCTCGCGCGGTGTCCGTAACACCATGAGACTTTTGTGCACACTCACCAATTTCTCTAATTTTCTGTCACTAATGTCGACAATTACCTGTAAAATTGCCCCAGAATCTCATGACAGAAAGTTTTCCCCATTGTTGGACCAAAAATTCCCCTCGAAATTGATACCCCTCATATGCTCTCTGTATATGGCTCTGATTTCTTTATCCATATGTAGTGCTTTTTGTGTCCATAGCTTTACCCGCTGCTCCCCTTACCCTAACCTTGCTTCTTTTTGATCCTCCCTTCCTCCTGCCCTTCGCAAATTTTGCATGATTTCCTCGCAACAGGTGACATCCCTGAAACCAGGATTGGTATGTTCTAGCTCTACCCAGATAGCGTTCCCTGCTTGCTTGTTTTGTTTTGTATTGTTTCTTGTGTTGCCATATCATGACAAGTACATTCGATGTAAGCATGTCCCGATGAGGCACCATAGTATACAAATATTGAATGTTTCGAGTGGTGTAGTAAAACTAGCCTCCCAAGGTGGACCATGCTCCGTGGATCACCAAGGGAGGCTAGTTTTACTTCACCACGCGATAAAGCATTCAATATATGTTTTATAACACTTCACCCACAGATTCTGCTTGGTTTCAATATTTTAAATGATTTAAATCTGGACACAGTTAAAATAAACTTCAATTTCAAAACAAAATTGTTGGGAAATGTGTTTCTCTCTTCCAAACCACCCCTTCACGAAATGTTTGAACCTAACTCTGTGGCGCGCTCTCTTGGGAACAATACGCGCAATGCTCAATGCGCACACCAGCATGCATTTGCACACAAATACCGCGCCATGGGTATAGTGCTTTGGTTGCTAATGGTATAGTACTTTGGTTGCTACGGGCATAATACTTTCGGCCGTGCACTGAAAGATAGCAAAAATAGAAAGTACCATGTGACTCGCTCTCGGCCAATCAAGACACAGAATCTGTAGGTGAGGTGTTATAATTGTACATATGTCATCTTTGATGGAGAGGTTGCATGAAAATCCTTCTTTGCGTTTCACTCTTCACACATACACAGTATACATACAATTAACCAGTTCATGCCGGGACTATTTTGACAAGAACGAAACGAGGCGCGGGATTACTTTTCACTCGACCTCATGCCAGGCGGGTTGAAGCCATCACCCTCGGGCAGCACACTCATATTTCTGGCCTCGCTCGCTGCAAGCGGGTCGCTGACAGATATTTCCGGCCTTACTCCCTGCGTGCTTATCTGTCATCCGTTCCGAATACCGCAAAACTTTTGCGGACTGGTTAAAAAAAAATGCCCATTTTATTGTGCAAATCCTGAATGTTCATCTTGCATGCGCCATAATTAACCAACCATACATTTTGTTGAGTTTGACAACTAACAACACATTTTACATAGAGTGTTTTGTTTCTGATTAATAAAGCTTGTGTTAGTGCTAGCAAGTGTGTAAGTGTTGTTTAACTGCATTACTGTCGTTTTGATTAGCTGTAGTAATTCCTTCATTTTCCACAGAGCATGAAAAGTTCAGAGTATGTTGCGGCATCATCCAATGTGGATCAACTTTTCTTTTTACGTTATTCTTCACCTGTGTAATGCAACAACACGTTCTGGTATTCAGCATGGTGTATGGACGAAAAAAGAATCGCATCATGTCCATTTGACTGCCATTGGAAAATAACAAATGTGTTTTAAGACTCGGACACGTTACATAGTTCACAGTGTTCGTAAACCTAGAAAAGGTGCATTGCAGCGTGCTATGGGGGTGTAAGTTTGCTGGCCACATATTGAAGACACTTTGAAGAAGATGGCCTCTCTTGTTTCAGTCTGGCATACAGTCTTCATTGGCATGCAGATGTTCCTTTTTATTAAAACAATTTGACAATCTTGAGTCTTTTGTCAGGTTTTCAGCTATCACCATCACCTTACCAACACCATTATTGTGGATCTTATTGGGCTATACCGTTATGTAAAAACTTGACAGAATTTCTCTTTTGAATGAAATGTAACTTCAATATTAGGTTTTGCCATCACTAGTGATAAGCATAGTATATTCAATGCTTTTAGAGGGCTTGCAAGAAAAAAAATTCACTGGCTTACTGGGATTTAAACCTGTGACCTCCGTCATAATGGTGCCAATGCAAAAAAAAAAAAAAAACTGATCATCCCAACTCATGATCAGTTGCGGCACAATCTGCTATCGGCAAGCTCAATGGTCAGATGGCAAGATGTCTGCACTAGTAAGAAGGAGGTCGTTAGTTTTGAATGGGTGTAAGTCCTTATCGAGGAAACTGGTGAAGTTTTTCTTGCAATCCCTTGGAAAGGACTAAAGCGTACAGCAAAAAAAAAACCTGATAATAAATTGATAGAATTTCATAGATAAAGCTGTACGGGCACTAGGTGCAACTGTACACTCTCAGAATTCTAACAAAAACCTGCGGAATGTATTAATTTGACTAATACTTTCCCTTTGTTTGGTTCAAAACCAACTTGTAGGTAACATTCCTGATTCCCCGATCGGTTTTGTTGGAGTGAGTGACAAGGACACTTTAGAAGATAAGACCTACTTCCCTGACCTAAGTGACGTGTACAAGCAATACTTCCGGGTAGGTTTGCAGATCGTGTTAGCCTGTCTGTCTGTTTGCTGTACTATCAGTCTATCTGTCTGTTGGGGTGTTTGATTGTCTGTTTTTGTTTTTGTTGTTTTTATGAATATGTATTTTCATGTATTATATTTCCGACAATTGCATTTTTGTGTTATTGTTTTGTTTGTTTTTTTATGAATTATTAACTGTAAGGATTTTAAAATTTTTATATTCTATGTATAACAAATATATTTAAGAATAAGATAAAGACACCCAACAAAGTCATTGCTGTTCTGAGGAGATTTAATACAAGTCAACGTTTCAAACGGACATAGCCGTTCTTCATCAGGCACTGTAAAAAGGAGAGGAACGATGAAACGGAAACATTTAAGAGAGTGATCAATTGTGAAATCTGTACATATTAACGGGAAATCAAGGTTTAAATGCATTAAATGAATTATAGCATAATAATACTAATAATCCAAAAATGGAATAAAATTGTACATACATTTGGTTTAATGTGGAAGAGGTGTAGTGTCCACAGTGTGGCTGAGAGCTTCTGTGAGGTGACAAGGTAAAGAGGAAGGCACTGAATGGCAGTTAGATCAAGTAACTGAGTAGAAGTTAATTAACAATAGGTGGGATTATATGTGATGCGATCAGGCTACATGAGTCGTTTGTTGGGAATTTTCATTTAAAGATTCAGGCCAAAATAAGACCACTTCATCACATTTTTTGGTGTTCCGACTTTTTTAACTAAAGATGATACCAGCATGCCGTTTCTACAGCAGTAATGCTAAGATTGTGCTCTTTTCAAGTCTGTAAAAAAAAAGAAATTGACCAGGGTCGACAAACGACTCATTTACAGCTCGATCGCATCACATATATATAGGTGCGATTATATATATTTAATATATATGATACCTGTAAGTGGCGGATAACTGTTGTAGCTTTCATTGAATAAATAAATATCTAGTTGTCGTGTGTCAAAAGACTGAGGTTGAGCCCAGCGGAACTCCAGGCGACTTTTTATCTGTTAAGCTCTCTGGATGTGCGTTAACAACGTTTTTATTTGACGCTTTCCTTAGGTTGACGAAGACACGGGTCAGGTTACCATCTTAGCTGGCACGCCAGCGGGTACCTACAACTTTGACGTGCGTGTCGCTGATGATGGCAAGTATGATGACCAGACATCCACCGTCATCGTGGACGTCAGGGACATCCCGGAAGAAGCCGTACGCAGCTCGGGGTCCTTCCGCTTCGAAGGGGTGACGGCTGAGGAACTAATCACCGTACCGTCGGGCGGCGGGGAGACCAAACTGGACATTCTGAAGAACATCCTGGCCGAAATCATCCCCGCCAAACCGGAAAACGTCGACATCTTCAGCGTGATCAACGTTCCCAACCAACCCAACACGGTTGACGTCCGGTACTCGGCCCACGGCTCACCTTACTACCCGCCAGAGCAAATGGACGGGGCCGCACTTGCAAACAGAGACGGGGTGAGTTTAGCTGCGTCGTTGACTCAATCACGGTGTCTGCACTCGACAAGAGCACTAGTGATGGCTTAATTTGTATGATCCCATGTTGGATTGTGCATTTTTGGATGACATGTGGGCGTGTGCTGTGCATTTGCAGCATTTAGGGCTCTCTCACTGAACAATAGAAACAGCCTACATCCTTGTACCTGAAAGGATGTAGGCAAAGTAGGCAAAGATTGTATGGTGCCGCATGCGGTACGTAGCAGGCAAGCCTTCAAATCTGTGATGGATGGCAGAAACTGTGGGAAAAAACCACTGGGTCGGCATGATTACAACAACTCTACACAGCTAGTAACAGGTAGTTACCACCAGGAGGTTTGCCAGTCTTTACTTGCTAGTGCCAGTGATTCCTGCTAAGCGGGGAATTCCTGCGTAAGGCGTCAAATTCTTCTCTTGATCAAACAAGGATGTTTTAACTAAAAAAAAACTACAATAAAAGTCAGAAAATGTTCTGCGTCTGACTGTTATATCACCCTCAGTTTTTTATTATTTGATGGTCTTTGATCTGTGTAGATTGCGCAAGCCTTGGGAGTGACCATCGGCATGATCAAGATCGACATGTGCCTGTTGGAGTCGGCCTGCGAGTCGGCTTGTACCAACGTACTGGAGATAGATCCCCAGCCCACCCTCATCAACACGCCCTCTGCCTCCTTCACGGCGGTCACTACGAGCACCGTGGCCAAGTGCGTGTGTGGGGCCAACACCCAGCAGCCGGGACTGTGCGACTTTGACGCGTGCCTCAACGGCGGAACGTGCACTGAAACACAAGGCGGTGGACACACGTAAGTGTTTGGCTATAAACCGACATGCATTGCAGGGCCCAATTTCATGGCACTGCTAAGCACAAAAATTTGATTAGCACAAAAAAGTCTGCCTTATAAAAGCAGGTTACCAGCCAAAACTCCATGTGATTTTCATGCTTAGCAAACAACAGCTGAATACTTATCATGAGCAATATACTTCACATGGAGTTTTGGCTGGTAACCTGCTTTTAGAAGCCAGACTTTTTTTGTGCTAAGCAAATTTTTGTGCTTAGCAGTGCCGTGAAATTGGCCCCAGTTTAGTACCAATCTTTGCTTGATCGAGAACTAAGAAGTTCATATATGCAAAATGTTCTATTTAGGGCCCGCCTCAATTCATATACGGGACGAGTTCCAGACAAGTTGAGGACATTGTATTTGGTATAAGTTTTTTTTGAGCTGACGCTACTGGAGTCGAAGTCGGGTCGAGGCGTTGTGACCGGTGGCTTTTCCAATCCTCGAAAGTCGTCTTTGCCATCCAGCCCGATCCTGGGCAGCTCGAACAGCCTGACCATGACTGAGGCCGATGGCATTTAGGTCGTCAATGATTTGTGCCATGTAGGTGTGACGTAGTCCCCCGCCCTGTCGAAAGGCATAAGTTGCAGGATTCTAAACAAATTCCCCGCAATCTTCCCACAATGAAGTTGGTAGTATAGGCGAGTCAAGCAGTTTGTTGATGAACATTTCCCTGGAACGTGTCCGGGACAAATGCAGAGCTCCTGGAGAACAAAATGAATGATTCTACCCGCAACTTGTCCGGAACTCGTCCCGATATGAATTGAGACGGGGCCTTAGTAAAGTCCGGATGATTGCAGGAAACATTTCAAGTTGTAACTACCGGGTCAGCCCATGGAGGATAGGCAGACGTAATCAAAGAGACGACTGAGTTGTATCAGGTTAATTGCTTGTCATCAAATTGAGAGTCGATTCGCAAGTGAAATAAGTCGGGTCTCAAGTACTAGAGGGTGAACAGTGTCAGAGGAATGCCTCTGTTACACTTCTTTAAATAGCTCTTTACTTGAGACTGGACTTGCTGTGGGTCTTGTGATGACATGATGGACAGCTAAATATATCTAAGACCCGCTGATTTTGTTTTTAGCTGTCCCTAACTGGTCCTTGTCACCACAGGTGCCAATGCCCGACTGGCTACGACGGTCCGGACTGCCAGCAGACCACCCGTGAGTTCAAAGACGGCTTTGCTCACTTCGGCACCCTCCAGCAGTGCGAGGAGACCCACACCTCCTTGGAGTTTATCACCACCGCTGCCGAGGGGGTGCTGCTCTACAACGGCCCCATGATCCCGGTGACCGGCGACATGCCCGAGGATTTCATGCTGATTCAGCTGCTTGGAGGGCAGCCAAAGCTCGAGATCAACTTGGGTTCCGGGACGTTGTCCCTCAGCCTACCAGCTACTACCAACCTTGGCGACGGCAAGTGGCATCGCTTAGACGTTTACCGGAATGGAAAGGTACTGATCATCTTAGGAGTGTGATTCGATTAAAAACCAGAGTGAAACAACGGCTAGTGTATTCTTGGCACAAAATTGGACGTGATTGAGAATATGATAAGTCACAGCAACTGTTTGCCCCATAAATTTGCTCAAATTGAACACATTTCAACTTTGGCGAATCTGTGAAATTTTGGCTCGTTTTTGCCATTTATTTCATCCTAAATGTGGTAAAAGGCTACGCACAGCAGGTCATAACACGTTGGGGAAGTTGAAGTTTGCAGATACTTCTGTTTTAGACTAGTTAGCTTTTTTGCAATAGCTTTTGCTCCACTGACATAATACTTTGATGAAAAGTCAGAAAAGTCTGACATTTTAATCGCCACAGAATCTTTATCACAACCTTAAATCAACCTGGTTTCGTAGCCTCATGGTTTTGATGACGTTTGGTTTGCAATAAAGTGTGTTGTGTGATATTTTCCTGATGTTCATTTTGAAATGTATACAGGTTAGTTTTATGCAAACCATAAACATGTTTTTCAATATGAGGGGTGGGTTCACAAGAATAAACACATTGACATGGATGTCTTTGCAGTTGCCTAAGTTTAGACTTTTTCAAATTCTAAATAACACAATACATGTGTGTATACTTGTCGTGTATACCTCAGATTTCATGCAAAAAATCAAGAGTCCAGATACATCCATGCATTGAAAAAGATGTCTTTTTTTCAGTTTCCTTGTAATTATGTCAATTTGCTTCTGTTTCCAACTTAGTAGTCTCTTTCTTTTCCTCTCTTATTTCACAAAATTGATTTATTGTTTGTGCTCAGGATGTAGAATTCATGCTGGACCGTTGCAAGGATGCGGCGGTGGCTGAAGCCTCCACTTCCAGCAGCCGGCAGACAGACCAATGCAAGATAACCGGCCAGGCGCCTGGAGACAACAAGTGAGTTGGTTTGCTTTAGAGCTGGCTTAGGGTTGGACCCAAGCTTTCCGATATGGGGTCCACTCCTAAGGCGGCAATCGGCTTGCAGCACCATTTCTAAGTTTGCAAAATGTTCAAGACGGAAAATGTTATATCAACAGACTCTACCAAACAAGAGCATGCAAACAATGTCTAACTTGAGAGGGTGCGCAGCTTTTTTCCCAGAGTTTTATAAATGAACCAGAACCAGAAAATAAAAGTTCTGAAGAACTGGTCTTTAAGCAGTTCGCGTCGGATGACGTGTATGCACGCAAAAGTTTTGCGGTATTCGGAACGGATGACAGATAACACGCATTGAGCGAGGCTGGAAATATCTGTCAGCGACCCGCTCGCAGCGACCGAGGCCGGAAATTTCAGGGTGTGCTACCCGCAGATGACGGCCTGAACCCGTCTGGCATTGAGGTTCGTGAAAAAATAACCCCGTGCCTGGGTCCCTTCACTGTCAAAATAATCCCAGCTTGATTGGTTAAAGAGGATAGTACTGTAATTTTATAGTGCAATATCCACCTCACAGCGCATTACATCAACATTACTATCCCTTTTGAGATGGGCTAATGAGGACACTCCAAGGACCCTCTCTGTCTCAGCTCCTTGTGGAGATAAACAGTCTCCTGATGACAGGCAGAGCATACTGTCTGAAACATTGAGTTTCACAAGCTTCACAAAAAGAGATTTCTTACAAGGTGCAACCGTAAACTTTATATATCAAGGTCAAGCATGATACAATGAATCAAATCTCATTTGGGACTCCCAATTTTTGTAAAAAGCTTAGCTGTTCTCTTCTAAAAATTTTTATTTTATTTTTTCATTGCACAGGTTCCTGAACGTCAACACTCCTCTACAGCTCGGCGGTATCGACGAGAGCCCGGGCTTCACATACCCCGTTGACATCACGTTTGCCGCTAGCTACGATGGCTGCATGAAGAACTTGGAGCAGGACAGCACCTTGTACGACCTGGAGACACCAGGAAAAGCAGCAGGCAGCGAGGCGGGCTGCTCCAAACTGGTCTGCGGGGAGTGTAACAACGGGACCTGTGAAGGGGACTTCAGCACCTATACGTGCCTGTGCGACCCGGGCTATACAGGCGAGAAGTGTGATCAGAGTAAGTATTGCTACTTCGGGGGGGGGGGGGGGGGGGGGGGGGGGGGGTCATGGCCCGATTAAAATGGTTGCTCAAAAGCCAAACCATTACCACAAGGATGTGTTGTTTTTTTTCTGACTGTTTCATAGTACAGAGCAAAACAGTGTTTATTTGGAATGACTCGGGGGGAAGGAAATTTATTTGCTTATAGACTAATTCCGGTGAACAAAATTAGAAGCCATTTTACAAATGGAATCACGTCCGCGCTCATGCCGCTTGTGTATTTTGGTAACCCTGTTGGTCCAAGGAGCGTGGAGTGCGTGCATATTACCTGATTCTATTACTGTTTGTTCAAACACACACGCGCACTCACCCAGTCGTGAATTTCTATACGCCCGGGGACAATGCTTTGTTTCCCTTTGTCCCTGTAATATAACACTCTCCCATAGACTAAGCACATAACCGTACGATCGAGGACTGTTTTCAACAAAAGACCCAACGCTCGAGGACTGAAAGGATCTTTTGTTCTCCTTTTGTTTGTCAGTCCTCTATCGTAAAGCCATACATGTACACACAGACTAACATTACATAAGTACTGTGGACATTCCTTTGTTTTCGTAAATGGGAGGAAAAAGCTCATTTTCCCCGCACTGTTAACACTCTTTCAACCCGAATTTTCAACATGGTTTCCTTGACTGTTCATCTTCATTTTGCAATAGATAACCCTAACCCTAAAATACCTCTAAAACTGTTTTACAGAGAGGGGGAAAAGTCTTGTTGACGTAGGCAAGTCCACAAAACATTCCCGCTTCCTGTATCCTGTGGACCTCTTTTGTTCACAGGTCCACAAAGAGTATGCAATGTCAGAGCACAAAAACCAAACAAACCAAAGAAAACTAATGGGAAATTTCGTAGAGATTCGACTTCATTGAGTGAAATGAATTAATGAAGTTTACATCGATAGCTAAAACAATTATGCATCGAATCTACAACGTGTTCAGGATGTTAAATCATTCACATTCGATCTCTGTGTGGTTTGCAGCAACCCCAGCCTACGACTTTGCAACTGAGAGCTATGTCCGGTACCAGCTGAAGCCCACAATCGTGATCGACAGCCGGGAGGGCAACTATCAGGTGTCATTCCGCACCCGCGAAGACGAGGGACTGCTTTGGACCATCACAAACCTGAACGGCCTGGAGTTTACAACGCTTGAGGTGAGACTATAGAGGGAGCTACACATCTGAGCCACTCATATAGACTCTTGTGCAAAAGTACCCTCTAAGTGGTGACCAAGAGTTAGGCAGATTCATGGTTGCATTGCTGCCCCATGGCAGGCACTCGGGCAAAGATTTTGTGTTTTGTGCGTACTTACAGCTATAGTCCATCATTTGCAGCTATCCAAAAAGTAACTGACGTAATAATTGTTGAAAAACATACTTGGTTGAAAGATAGTAAGGGGACTAAACTCCCTGTGAAATTATTCTTTCTGGCATGCTGTCATTTTGAAGAAATCAACAAAAGAAGGCCTTTCCAACGATGCATGGTTGGAAATTTTCGCTAGTAGTTCGCGCTTTTTTTATTCAGCGAAGCGCGCGCAAGCGTTGACACGACGCACACGCGCGCGCAGTTGCTATAATTTGTCGGATCAGTGCGCGACATCGCGTAGTTGCAATCTTCTCAGTGAGAAGTTCAAAACATGTGAATCATGTTTTGATTTGAAATCATGATCCTAGAATTTTGTTATTCTTGAAAAATATAGCTGAAGCTGAGCTGAATCTTCATTAGGTTAGTTGTTCAGCACCCTTCTTTAGATTTTGAGCACGTTTGTTGCTTCAAACGAACAAAATGCACAAATTACAAATGATGGACTATACCTTTAAAGTTGTCTCAAGTAATTTGTGTGCAACACAGGACACACAATATGTCCCGACCCAAAGAGCTCTCACAAATGCTGATGGAGCACCATTTATTATTCATGCACATAGTCCATAGAGCCATAGTGCACTGGCCACTGCACATTAACAGTCCAATATCTGAGATGACAGGCATGCAACTTTTCCTCAGATGAGCTGATTTCCTCGTTTTTCACTTCAGACTTATGCCAATAAATATTGAGAAACAATGTATGAAGTCTATGTTTTTGGTCTATAGACAGCTTCCGTTGGCATTGTACAGGAACCCCTATGGCACATGCAGACATTAACAAGGGGCGTTCTGTCCCATGTAATGTAATTGTCCGATCACGGTAGAATCGCGTTTGAATCGCGTCAACGCAGCTTGTGAAATATTGTCCAATTACCAGATATACAAATGGAAGCGCAATGCTCAACATCTGAGACAAACTAAACTTAGCGTACACAAATTCCATAAGGTTGTCTAAGGGGCGTGGCTAATATGCAAACGGCGATAGGTCAATAGTGGCAGGGCAGCTAAACCCCGTACACAATCCTCCGAAACCTGGTAGATTGGGAGGATCAGGTGATATAGTCATCTCTAATCTTGTTAAATCCCCCCCCCCCCCCCCCCCCCTCTACAGTTGATCAATGGGTATATCCGGAGCCGTTGGAATCTGGGTGACGGGGAACACTCCATGTACCTGGACCAGTACGCGGTGAACGACGGGGATTGGCACATGGTCCACCTGGAGCGCTTTGACTTCTACATCACGGTCCGGATCGACGGGGGCGGCGGGGTGCGTCAGATGGAGAGCAGGGAGAGCACCTTCAGCACCTTGGAGGTTGACCCCAACAGCTTGCTGCTGGGGGCCTTTGTGGTGCATGTGGTGGACATCTCCCAGGACTTCCAAGGTGAGTCCTTCAGGGGCCCATGTCATGGAGCCGGTTCAGCGCAGAATTCTGCTCAGAGCATAAGAGATGTGCTCAGCGAAAACAGATTACCAGCCAAAATTTCATGTCATGTATATTACTGTTGACTGGTACTCGTCCAATTTTCGCTTAGAACACAAAATTTGCTTAGCTGTGAATTTTGCTTCAGAGAAAGTATAGCCGCAGCCTGCTTACATGGCTACGGCTGGCAGTAACACAGGTGTTTATGGGAAGAGGATTCAGGCACCTTCACAGGTGCTTGTGTAATTGTAAGCCGTAGTCAAGAAATTTGTGACGCGCATCAGCTGTCCCGCATTCGAAGAAATTTCGAGCAACATGCATGTTTTTTTGGGAACATTTTGCGCACTGCATGTATGTGCGCGCGCACACATACCTGGTGGCGTTAATACATAGATCTTTGTAGTTTTCCTATGAAGATGGCTGTTTATGAGAGGGGTCTGTTGGGGGCGATGCAAATCAGAATCATTCACATTGCTTTGGGAACTCAAATTGTGATATATGGTCCCAAGTTCACAGTGCTGCTTGTCAGAAACTGTCGATCAGCAAATTTTTTTATGCTTAGTGGAGAACCAGTCAGTACCAGTGTGCATCACATTGTGTTTCTTCCATTAACCAGTCAAATCGTTTATGTGCTTAGTACATGTCTGTGTGCTCATCAGCTTAGCTGAAATTATCCTATGCTCTTGTTAATTTAGTGGTAAAATCTTGGGGATTTTTTTCACAGTCTTTTGAAAAACTGGAGTGTTCCTTTGTCAATAGACCTAGAACGTAATGACCAGGCCTGCAACTTTTCCTCGGATCCGCTGCTTTCCTTGTTTTTTACTTCTTATGAATGCCTTTACAAATTGAAACACACTGTACAAAGTCTTGTGTGGTTTGGAGTTTCCTCGTTTTTTCAAAGTTCCCAGTTACATGCCTGAATGACATCATGCTTTGTTTACATTTGCGCTTTCCTACGGGAGCCAGCATACATGTTAACAAAGCGTGGTGTCATTACGTCTTAGGTCTATTACTCCCTCTGTAAGAATTCAAGGACATAAAGTTTGTAGGCCGTTCCAAGTAGGCATATTCTGACATGCAAGCTAGCCCTGGTTCCCAGCGGAACTTCCTCGCATTCTGAATGTTGAACTTTGCAAATAATGATCTAAATCGCCATGAATCAATTCACGCCGTGTCTGAGTCTGCGTGCAACTCCCTGTAACAAGAACTGAAACCAATTGTCATTGATTTCACCAGGCTGCATGAACGATCCCCGGATCAACAACTTCTACCTGGGCTTTGAGACAGAGTCTGACTACGCGATCCCTCAGCCTACCGCCTCGGTGACCGAGGGCTGCCCCAGCTACGATCCTTGTGCCAGTAACCCTTGCCCAGTGCCGTTCATATGCAAGGACGTGTGGAGGAAGTACATCTGCATGTAAGTAGTCAACCTCCTATCGATTCTGTAGTAGTAACATTTTGTATTGTGTTATTCATACAATGTGACATTGTCCCAAATTGTACCAGTGAGATTGTAATTAAGTCGTCACAAGTCAATCACAAGTCAATCATGGTTCATCACAAGTCATCGCAAGTCAGTCACAAGTCCATCACAACTTAGTCACAAGTTAATCACAACCCAGTCACAGGTCAGTCGTAAGTCAGTCACATGGCAGTTGTAAGCCACTCACAAGTGAATCCCATCGTAACTTTAAGTCAGTCACAAGTCAATCATTATCAGTCACATGGCAGTAGTGGGTCATTCACAAGTCAATCACAAGTCAGCCAGTTGGCAGTTGTGAGTCACACACTAGTCATTCACAAGTCAATCACAAGTCAGTCACATGGCCGTAGTAAGTCACTCACAAATCAATCACAAGGTAGCCATTTACCAGTTGTAAGTCACTCACAAGTCATTCACAAGAGAATCACAAGTCAGTCACATGGCCGTAGTAAGTCACTCACAAATCAATCACAAGGTAGCCATTTACCAGTTGTAAGTCACTCACAAGTCATTCACAAGTCAATCATAAGTCAGTCACATGGCCGTAGTAAGTCACTCACAAATCACTCACAAGTCACTCACAAGTCTTCACAGGTCATCATGATTCATCAAACGCCATCACAAGTCAGTCACAAGTCAATCACAACTTAGTACCAAGTTAATGACAATTTAATCACAGTTCATTGTAAGTCACTCACAAGTCAGTCACAACTCTGTTGTAAGTCATGGACAAGGAGCTTATGCATTCAAAAGAAATACTGAAATGGCTGCTTCACTTTTCCTGTGAATGCAAATGCATATGCGAACTTGATCGTAACAAAAATTAATAAAGTAAATATTCGGTAACTCGTTTGCACATTTACAACATAAATACCTTCTGCGATGTCGCAAAGTTGTACCCAAAGCTGGCTGTAGCAGCAATGTTTAATTTAATTTTTTTATTATTATTTCAAAATGTTGAATTTATGAAATTACAAGACTGTGAATTGTACTGTATAGCTTCAGTAACTGCAGAATATGAGTATGGTTTTAGGATTCAAAACTGCTGAAGTTTCAACTCTATGTGGAATGTCTTTGAGTCACGGGTCTATATAAAGCTCGAACCTTAAATATTCAAAGGCTCTTTCAATCCTGGCAATTTGGTTTCTGACTCTTTTCTTTTTTGTATCGATTAGTTGCAAGCCAGGCTTTGAGGAATTGGGCAACACGTGTGTAGCCATCGATGACTGTGATCCTAACCCCTGCCTGAACGGTGGTATATGCACCGACCGCGAGAGTGGCTTTGACTGCGAATGCCCGGACGGCTACAGAGGCGACATATGCGATGTGAAGGTGGTCCCGCGGGTAGGCGAGCCGCTGAACCTCAGTATTGGAGCCATCCTGGCCATGATTCTCTGCATACTGATCATCATATGTAAGTAGACAGTCAACATCGCAACTCAACATTTATAGTAGGAAAAAGGCCGCACGAGGCTCTGAAGGCATGTGAATGCCAGAAGATTTACAGAGGGAAAAGACCAACATACGGAAGCAGTTATAGGAATATGAAATTTCTTGTGTTTCAGAAGTATCCAAAGGTTGTATTCTTCAAAGAGAAAGCTTGGGGGGGGGGGGCCACTTTAGTGAGTTAGCCGAGTACAAACATGTGATGCGATCAAGCTAGCTACATGAGTTGTTTGTTGGGAATTTTTATTTGGAGATACAGGCCAAAATAGGGCTACTTCAACATCACCAACACATCTCTGGGTGTTCTTACTGAATTCTTACTGGGGACCATATTTCTTTTAGGTGTGCTGGTCAATGTGGACGATCGTAGGCACGTTTGGACAATAGATGCGCTCTTCATCCTGGCGCATTTGCCGAAGGATACATGATTTTGCTGATAAGAATTATTTTAAGGGGGGGGGGGTGTCACACACCCCCCTCAACCCCCTTGCCCGTGGATAATTCCTAAATTGATGTGCCCTCCTCTTGTTTCCCCTCCTCAGTGATGCTGCTGGCTTTCGTCTTCTACAAGCGCAACCAAGACCGCAAACAGGCCTTGGCCTTCGCCATCGATCCCGACGACGACATCCGAGAGAACTTCATCAACTACGACGAGGAAGGAGGCGGGGAGGAGGACCAGGATGCCTACGATGTCAGCACCTTGAGGAAACCCGTGCAGCCGGTGCAGCCCATGGATGATTACATCAAGCCGCCGACTACCGTGGTGCCGCTCAGCCATGCTCCTAGACCTACCGGTAAGGATAGGCAGGCTTTGTGTTGCAGGAGTCCAGGCACCAAGTTCTTGGTGAAGCTTTGAATTTACTCTAGCTATAGACCGTGTCAAACCTGGGCCCAATTTCACGGTGCTGCTTAACAGTTAGCAGAAAAGTTGTGCTTAGCATAGCAGAACAATTTGCTAACCTTAAACACTATTTCACGGTGTGGACGTGCTAACGGTCGCGCGTGCATGGAGATTTCTATTGTTATGTCACTAAGTTAAGCAAATTGTCCCTCTGAAGTAAGCGCGCCTCTTGCTGTGCTTATGCTTGCCCTGTTTACAGAGTTGGATGTCATGTGATGCCAACCTGCCACTAACTGTGTTTTTGTTTCTGCACTACACGTCTATCTCTTGAAATATGTGACCGGCTCCACAAAAAAGGGTATTAAGTCGCGCTGTTCATTATTGTGTAATGGCCTGCTCAACGTTGAGAGGGTGAAAATCTTGTCAAAATGTGATTTCATTTTTTTTTGTCATGAATGACATCTTTAATACCTACAGTTTCAGCTTTCATTCACAGAAATGTTGATTTTGATGAATAAAGTGGAGAAAAAAAACGACCATTTTGTTTGCATCGTTCTGTTGTTCTACGACGCAGTCAGCTATTTCAAAGCCTGTTTTCTCAGTTATACAATTCGAACTCCAAGGAAGTAATTAATATGCAAATATGTCATATCTCCAGGGGGCTATGGAGCTCTATTATATATCAAATGAAAGCTTACATTGTGGGCTTTCCAACCATGTATATAACTCAATATAACTCCCTGCCATACAAACATGAACCAGTGTGTGCACGCACTGTGTCTTCTTTAACCCTAAGTCGCTCGGCATTTTTGCTAGGATCTCAATCCTGCAAAATCCTCCAACTGCCTCCATGTAAAAATCGCATACAGCATAAATCCTCCAACATCATCGGTTTTTGTTGAACGTGGTCCTTGGAGTTGGAGGGGTGACCACTGCCTCAATCCTGAAAAATCCTACAGCAATCACTGTCAATATGTTGACGCAGAGCCAGTGACATCCTGGAGCAGTGCGGAGGATTTCAAGTATAATCTAGGCCTAAATTTATGCACGGCTGAGCATTAACAGCACAAGGTCCGGCCCAAGACCTTGACACAGTGCATCCTTCAAAATCAGCCGCACGTTTTTGCCATATGTTTTAAATCCTGCAAAATCCTCCATTTTGCAAAAAAGGATTTTGGAGGATTTGGGAAGGTTAGGGTTAGTGCTTTCATGCTGTATGCACAGGACTTTTACCTTGTTTTTGGCTCACACATCCCACTCACTCATCTCCCAATGCTCTCATCTCCCGTAGGTGATGACCCCAACGTTGGTGACTTCATCAACGATCGTCTCAAAGATGCCAACGACGACCCGGATGCCTACCCCAACGATTCCCTCAAGGAGTTTGACTACGAGGGCGAGGGCTCGTCGGCCGGCAGCCTCAGCTCTCTCAACAGTAGCAGTACAGACGGCGATCAGAACTACGACTACCTCAACGACTGGGGACCACCCTTCAAGAAGCTGGCCGATATGTACGGAGGCGGTGAAGACGATTAGACAAACGACAGGTACAATCACTGGCTTACTGAGATGATCAAATCAGAGCTTCCTTGTAGTCAAAATAAACTGAACAGTTAATGAAAGATATGATTACATATGGGTTTAACTCCTTCCGTACAGCAAGTTATATCAACTTCAAATAGAGCCATTGGAGACAGAGAATATAATCGGCTTGAACATCGTAGTGTATTGATTTACTTCTGTCTATTAAGGCCAAAAAAAAAATTACTCAAAAAAAACACCGTACTCAGAAAGTTAAGTCCAGGCTTCTCGTGATGTAAAATAGATATTTGCTGACGAAATCACTTTGTTGTGATTCTTTACGAAAGAGGAAAATAGAAAAAAAAGTGACAACATTTTTGTATTGCAGTTGTGGTTGTGATTGTTTAAAGAAAAGACTGTTGCATTAATTATGAAAGTTAATGTAGTTTAAGATTCATTTGCAGAAAGATGTTGTATAAAAGCTGTTGATTTTTGTACTAAATGCTTAAAATGGTTGGTAGTAGATTTTTAGACTGGACTCTAAATCCACCTGAGGATTTAAATAAGATTTGTTGCTCATCCACTGGGTGGAGTTTGTGGGTTTTTAAGCTCCGTATGTAAATTTGGCACATTTGATCATTTTGTAGGAGTATTTTTCATCGCAGTTAATTGTTTATGGTCAATTTTTAAAAAATGTTTGAAAATAAGTTTAGCCAGTTTCTAAAATTGTATCAGGATTAGGCTAAACCTGTGTGCCCTGTGTGCCAGCTGTAGACTACAGAAACAGTCACTTTTAAGTCATATTTTTTGCTTTCTTGAAGTATGAAAGAACAAAAAAGAGCTTTCTTGCTCCGGTAATTTTTATATTTTCATTAGTACTAGACCCACCCATTGCTGTGTAAATACGCTGGCCTGTTTGATATCAGTACTACTCTTGCTGTTGTCCATAAGAGGCATTCTATCAAGTTAAGAGTCAAAGTGTGACATTTTTCTTGTCCCTGCTACCTCTGATTTTTGTAATTTGCCCTTCAAGTATCATCAAGAATGTCTTCAAGCGATTGTTTTATTTGCTGGGTAGGTAGTTTGCTATTTATAATCGCTTATGAAGGATGACTGCATTAACCCTAACCCCCTAGGGTGATTTACTAAAAAACCTTCCTCATCCTTGCAAATCCCAACACCATGTGGTAAACTGTACACATAAACAGTTGGACTTTGGTATGCCAAACCCCATGTAAAGCATAATCAATTTACCAGTGCAGTACTCCTCCTAACAGATTCCAACAAACCCTTCTGTTGGAGTTTGACTGGATGGGGATCGTTAGGGTTAAGGAAGGGCATCAAAATTACAAAATCATAGATGTCAGATGTAACAGGGACAGAAAAAAAAAGTGGACCCCCAAATTTATAGAATGACCGGTAATGCAATGCGACCAGATGGCAGTGTGATGCATCTTAGATACAGTTTGCCGACTTGAAGGCACAAATATTAAGGTATGTTCAATGGGCGCCTCGCGGAACAATAGAGGGCGCTATGCAGCCCACTCATGAGAGCGAGTTAAGAACACATATAAAGTGTGGTCACTACTAATTTCCATCTGACAGGAATAAACCCTAGCCTGCTCCATTAGACGATCTCGACTGAGTGTGGACGCACAGCGGACATTTCTGCTCGAGCGTTGATCGATATCGGTGCTCGTCAGCATTTTCATCATTTAGGGGTACTTCCGCGCAGAGTCCATGAAAAAGCCGTGATAATACTGCCGGCTTACTTTTACCCAAGCGTGATCGTGTCTTTACGTTGGTCGTTTCTAATGTTAAGGATGATACAGCAGGGTTGTACAATTGTGTGAATATGTTCAATAGTTTAACAAACAGAAAAAGTGCGACAAGTAGGTTTAGACATTCTTTGAAATGATATTGTAATGTGTTTTTTAAATTCATTTGGTTTGTTTTGTCAGTTCCGCAATCTACATTTAAAAAAACTTGAAAGTACTTGTAATTAGTTAGTACTGTTTTGTACGATTACTTGCACAGTGTCAGAGGATCGGACTGATTTGTTAACAGTTGCAGAAAAATATGTGAATAGTGGTGCTTTTTTTAATTGTGCCTTCACTCATTAGAATCGAGGTTCGTTTTTTTGGTTTTCGTTCGTAGTACATTTGTAGGCTATCGTAAGCATGCTTTCTACAGAAGATTAATTTGTGAAAAATGTAGGTCAAAGATTACAAGGAGACTTAGTACATAAGATGTCACAAGGCTGGGCCCAGAGTCTGTTGTTACAGGTTCTGAAACGTGTTGAAAATACTTGTATGGGGAGATTGGGTGCCAGACTAAAGATCATTACAAATGTTCGTGGTTTACTAAGACCGAATGTCAGAATAACTTGGCTATGGCTTAAAATTACACACGAGTCTATGGGAAGTGGCTGCAGCCGCTACCATAGACACAAGTGTAAAATCAAGCCGTAGCCATATAATTCCCGAATTACATGTACTTGACTATGGCTTGAAATTAAACACTACATGTAGTCTACGGTAGCGGCTGCAGCCGCTTCCCATAGACTCGTGTGTAATTTCAAGCCGTAGCCAAGTAATACGGACATGGCTGAAGACACCAATAAACCCATGTGGCTTACGTCTTACCAAAATTAGAAAAGGGCCTTTTTAAATTATTCTTTTTTTAATAGAAAGATTGTCACAAATGTTTTGCACATGTAAATTTAAGCTTGCCCTGTAATGTTATATAACTCTTTTCTTAGCATACACTTAAGCTATTTTGTAGATTTATTTTCGGTGTAAATATATTGCTTATGTTGAGCTTATCATTCTTGCTTTAGGTTCCATCCAGTAAATAATTATTTAACAGTTATTCATGTACTTTTAGATGCCGTTCAAAAATAAATGCCAAAACAAAAAATGCTTTCTTCAATGGACCAAAACCACATTTGGCCTGAAGTGTGGGTGTATCATGAAATTTTGGACTTGGTCAAAAAAGGCCAATTTGAGTGTATTGCACATGCTCAGTGCAAACATTCAAAGGTACAGACACTAAGATTCTGGCAGAAACTTTCTTCAAGGCAAAATTATTAAGAATTTCATTTGGACCTTGACTTCACATCACACCACTTTCGCCTTTGATTTCCCCTCGGTACATTTGTACCTTTCTCTAGAAGGTTTTATGGAATTTGTTTTTCTGCAAGAAGTCATGTATAGTAAGGAAACAGTTCTTCCAAGGAAATTTCATGTACAAATGCGATGTCTTAAAACGCTTGTTATGCTCATCAATCAAAGATGGAAATTCATGGAAAAGATCAAAATGTTGTGTTTGTTATAAAAAAAAACGCTTTTAAAAAATTTTCTTAAAAATTCTGCGATATTCATTGTCCATTGTCAGCAGTTGTTTATATAGTAGACCTAATTTGCAATATTTAACTTACTTTAATTACATAGCACCTGCAATTGAAAAGTTAGTCGCTAGTCACTTGAAGTTTTAAGTTGTATTATAATTGATTATTATGCAAGCAAAACTGAACGTAGAACAGATTAAGTGTGATGTGGTATTTGGCCAATTAAAAAAATGCCAGTTGATCGTCCCTGCCCGCTTTCTTTTTTGAGGCTCCATCATTTTTTTTAAAATTTCAGGCATTACCTTTTTTAAAGATGTTTCAGAAGTTCAGATTCTACTAATAGCTTTACTAATGTTCAATAAGCACTTTAAGAAGGTGTTGTGGCTATCAACTAGCAGACAACTACCCAGAACTATCAAATAAAAAGGGCCTCCTCCTTTTTCAGGCACATATCATGTAAGCTAAATATGGCTTTTTTAGCCTACTTTTCAATAAAAAAATTAAAAAGGGCCTCGTCCTCCTCTTTTTGAAAAAGAACCCCGGACGATCAACTGGTGTTTTGTTTTTTTACTTGGCCTTAGTGTATTTTTTGTTGTTTTATGTTTGAAATATTTGTCTGTGTTCATGGAACATTGTAGTATTCATAATTATTTTGTTAGATGATTTTGGCCTCGTATGCTCCATCCGTTTAAAATTGAGTGATGGAAGTTTAAAATGCTGTATAAAAAATTAGAAGTATGGTGCATCCATCGAAAGATAGTTTGAAAGCAGTTTTCAGTTAGGTCTGGATTTTTTAAAAGAAGTTTGTGTGTTATATCCAAGCGTTGCACTATAAAGATTTTTTTAAAATGTCGTTAGGTGTCGTTCTCCAAAAGATAAGGTCTCTAGTTAGATCAAGAAATTACATAAAAATAGTTTACCGAATGAAAAGTACTTTTTTAAGCTGTAAAGTGTATAAGGCTTTTAATGTTTAGAGGATTAAAATTGATTTAACCAGACAAAGTAATTTTAAATACGGTTCATTCATCATATTCACATAAAATTCTCATTTGAGCAAGTACACAATTAATTCAAAGTAAACACAATTTTCAAAATAAAATCTCTTTTCAGTTTTAAAATTTGCGTTGTTTGCTGCTCAGTTTATGGTAGAAATTAAATATCTTGATGCCAAAGCGTTATTTTGTAATTGATTAGTAAAGAGAGAGAAAAAGCGAAACGCAGCATTTTAGGGCTACTATTAAATCAAGTTGTTTTATTACTCCAGTACAGTAACACGCAAGATGTAGTCCCTTTTTAAAAAATCGCCACGCTGGTTTGAATTATTATGAAAATAAAAGATTCCACTGGAATAGTTAGCCCACGGTGTGTCTTTGTTTTGTCTCTGTGCCTTGATGACTGCCCGACTGACTCTCCGACCGACTGACTCCCCGACTGCTGACTGATTGTCACTTGTGGATTGGACCTGTTACCTATGGGCCTTATATTCACGAGTCGGCCATATTGGACTGAGTGAGAAAAAATCTTGAATTTTGGAATATGTGTAGAGAAATGAAAGTAAGTTAAGTACCACTTGATTCCACTCTGCTTCAAATGAATAATTCCAAATTTGTAATTAAACGTTCCTTAATGTTTAAAGCCAGATTTAATATAACAAAAAAGATGACAGTAAAATATAGCTGCATTATGCCTGCATAAATGGTCTGGCGCCATCCCATTCATCAGTTGACAATTAATGAAATACATTTAGGGAACTCGACAAAAATGGCCAACACGTGAATTAGGCCCATCTCTCACGCTGACTCACTACTGACTTAAAATTACAGGGTGACCAAAAAAACTTGTATAGGCAGATGTCCTTAAATTTTTCACAAATTACTTAACATCTTGATGGAGCATAGTAATTATAATCTTGTGTATAATCAGTGAAAATGTAATGGAAATTCGTTCATGCAAACCTGAGATCTAACAGATTGTAAAAGGCTATGGGGTTTTCACCCATTCCAATGGGATTTACACAGGTTGTGATATCAGTGCATCAGATTGTCATGGGCCTTTTCACTCTGATGTTAATTAAGTTAACTGTGTAAATCCCATCCCATTGGAATGGGTGAAAACCCCATTGCCTTTCATAGTAAGGGAGCAATACCTATTGTAAGAAACGACATAAATAATATTATACCAGAAAAAAAATCAAGATGTAATATATCTATTACATCTTTCAAACAACGTTTCTTTAATTGTGAACGTCCCCAATAAATATAGTAATTCGCAAAATAGGAAAAACGAAAGAAACAAAGCCCCTAACCCTTAAACCTGGAAATACAAAATTAACGACTAACTAGGCTGCCTGCCGTATTCAATTATCCAAACTAATGAAAACAGCTCGACTCACTATTGCCCGAATTATCGACTTTCGTCCGTCCGTCCATGGAGCCAAAACAGATGCACACAGCAATGCTCCACGTTTCTCCGCGGACTCCGTCAACAATTAAGACAAATTGTTTTTGAGGAGAATTCTAAGGAAGCCTGATGGCCGAGTGGTAAGATTCGTCGTCCACGAATCGCGGAGCCCGGGATCGAATCCCGTCGGTGTCTTTTTGCTTTTCAACGCACGCATTCTATTCAGTCATTATAAGATGTTTAATTTCCTGTCGTAAAATACCAACTGTACCTTAGCTTAATCGGTAAGCACTGCGGCTGGTACTGTCCGTGAGTTCCAGGTTGGCGCCTTCGTACAGGTTCAGGGCATGTGGTCCACTCGGAGGATCAGGGCTTAGGGTGCCGCCCTGTTCCTCCCTTAGCTCTTTGCTTTTACATGGTGACTGGCCCTCCGGGGTTACATGGATGGACAGGGAAGGAAGTGTGTATTGGTCGGGGACGCCGAGACCCCGGAAGAGAACTAAGGGGTTGGCTGGGGCATTGTTATGGCTCAGACCGATCCCTGAAAGCTTGACTAGCACATAACTTTTTGATTTTTTTTAATCCTTTATTTTTTTTAACTTTGATTTAGTTTGATATTGACATCTCCTCGGCAGGTGTGGTAGTATTAAAAACGAAACAAAGGTGTATGTCATAAATCAATAAATATTTCATAACTGACTAAAATCAAAACAAAGTTTCGTTCGATCACTCTGCCTATACCATTATTAATGGTGCAATTTCCAATTGACGTCAGAAACACCGTTTACAATATCTGCCCGATTTTGATGAAAATGTAAGGAAAACCCCTTACAATGTTGAATTTCCCAGAAAAATCGAATTTTGCCCAATTTTGATGAAAATGCACGTTTAACCCCTTACTATTTTAAATTTTCCCAGGAAAGTCAAATTTTGCCCAATTTTGATAAAAATGCAAGGATAGCCACTTACAATTCAAATTTCCCAGAAAAGTCAAATTTTGCCAAATTTTGATGCAAATGCAAGGTTAACCCCATTCAATTTTAAATTAAAGTGTCCGGGGGGACAGAATTACCTAGGTAAAAGTGTCCTCCCGGCCCGTTAATTCTGTCCCCCTTCAGGTAATTCTGTCCCCTCCAGGTTTTTTTGTCCCCCTAGTTTTGCAACGCAGAAGGCCAGTTCTCTATATTGTTTTCATGAATTCATTCTACAAGGTATACATTTTTTACTCTTTAAACCCCTTACATTTTTTTCAAATTTGGCCAAAAAATTTAATTTCTTGAAACTTGCTAGGAAGATGCCACAGGGTCCCTAGAACACGTTTCCACTCCTACATTGGACAGATAGGCCTTTAAAAAGGAAATATTACGTCGTCAATTTGAGGTGAAATAGGTTAAAAATATGAATTTTTACCCAGTAATGTCACAATTTTGGCCAAATTGAGCAAATTTTGCTGGTATGAATATTAAATCATGGTCCCATAGCATCCTTCAGCATTTTTGAGTAATTTGGAGAAAATTCATTTTTTGGCAAAAATCGAAAAAAAGTAAGGCCAACCCCTTACATTTTTTTTCAAATTTGGCTGAAAAATGATATTTCTTGAAACTTGCTAGGAAGATGCCTCAGGGTCCCTAGAAAACGTTTCCACTCCTACATTGGACAGATAGGCCTTTAAAAAGGAAATATTGCGTCGACAATTTGAGGTGAAATAGGTCAAATTTATGAATTTTTCCCAATAATGTCACAATTTGGGCAAAAATTTAGCAAATTTTGCCGGTCTTAATATTAAATCATGCTCCCAAATCATCCTTAAGCATTTCTGAGTAATTTGGAGAAAATTCATTTTTTTGCCAAAATCGAAAAAAAAGTAAGGCTAACCCCTTACATTTTTTTTTCAAATTTGGCTGAAAAATGATATTTCTTTAAACTTGCTAGGAAGATGCCACAGGGTCCCTAGAAAACGTTTCCACTCCTACATTGGACAGATAGGCCTTTAAAGAGGAAATATTACGTCGTCAATTTGAGGTGCAATAGGTAAAAAATATGAATTTTTACCCAGTAATGTCACAATTTTGGCCAAAATTTAACAAATTTTGCTGGTCTGAATATTAAATCATGGTCCCATAGCATCCTTCAGCATTGCTGAGTAATTTGGAGAAAATTCATTTTTGGCAAAAATCGAAAAAAAAGTAAGGCTAACCCCTTACATTTTTTTCAAATTTGGCTGAAAAATGAAATTTCTTGAAACTTGCTAGGAAGATGCCTCAGGGTCCCTAGAAAACGTTTCCACTCCTACATTGGACAGATAGGCCTTTAAAAAGGAAATATTGCGTCGACAATTTGAGGTGAAATAGGTCAAATATATGAATTTTGCCCAATAATGTCACAATTTGGGCAAAAATTTAGCAAATTTTGCTGGTCTGAATATTAAATCATGGTCCCATAGCATCCTTCAGCATTGCTGAGTAATTTGGAGAAAATTCATTTTTTGGCCAAAATCGAAAAAAAAGTAAGGCTAACCCCTTACATTTTTTTCAAATTTGGCTGAAAAATGAAATTTCTTGAAACTTGCTCGGAAGATGCCTCAGGGCCCCTAGAAAACGTTTCCACTCCTACATTGGACAGATAGGCCTTTAAAAAGGAAATATTGCGTCGACAATTTGAGGTGAAATAGATCAAATATATGAATTTTTACCCAATAATGTCACAATTTGGGCCAAAATTTAACAAATTTTCTGGTCTGAATATTAAATCATGCTCCCAAAGCATCCTTAAGCATTTTTGAGTAATTTGGAGAAAATTCATTTTTTGGTAAAATCGAAAAAAAGTAAGGCTAACCCCTTACATATTTTTCTATTTGGCCAAAAAATGAAAAAAATTTGAAACTTCATGGAAGATGCCTCAGGGTCCCTAGAACACGTTTCCACTCCTACATTGGACAGATAGGCCTTTAAAAAGGAAATATTACGTCGTCAATTTGAGGTGAAATAGGTTAAAAAATATGAATTCTTACTCAGTAATGTCACAATTTTGGCCAAAATTGAGCAAATTTTGCTGGTCTGAATATCATGGTCCCATAGCATCCTTCAGCATTTCTGAGTAATTTGGAGACAATTCATTTTTTGGCTCAAATCGAAAAAAAGTAAGGCTAACCCCTTACAATTTTTTCAATTTGGCCAAAAAATGATATTTCTTGAAACTTGCTAGGAAGATGCCCCAGGGTCCCTAGAACACGTTTCCACTCCTACATTGGACAGATAGGCATTTAAAAAGGAAATATTACGTCGTCAATTTGAGGTGAAATAGGTCCAAAATATGAATTTTTCCCAATATTGTCACAATTTGGCCAAAATTTAGCAAATTTTGCCGGTCTGAATATTAAATCATGCTCCCAAAGCATCCTTAAGCATTTCTGAGTAATTTGGAGAAAATTCATTTTTTGGCCAAAATCAAAAAAAAAGGAAGGCTTACTAACCCCTCACATTTTTTTCAAATTTGGCTGAAAAATGAAATTTCTTGAAACTTGCTAGGAAGATGCCTCAGGGTCCCTAGAACACGTTTCCACTCCTACATTGGACAGATAGGCCTTTAAAAAGGAAATATTACGTCGAAATTTGAGGTCAAATAGATGAATTTTTACCCAATAATGTCACAATTTTCGCCAAATTTAGCAAATTTTGCTGGTCTGAATATTAAATGATGGTCCCATAGCATCCTTCAGCATTTCTGCGTTATTTGGAGAAAATTCATTTTTTGGCCAAAATTAAAATTTTTGATGCCAAACATCGTGAAAATGTATTTACCTGAGTTGTTGGCCCGAAATCGGGTTTGGTGGTGGAGATCGAGACCACTATAATAGAGGGCGCGCCACATAAACAGTGGTCTCAACAACGCATCAATACGGATGCTGCACAAGTGAACAAAAAGAACAAGCTTGTTTCCGATGAACTACTCAAGA